GAATCCCGCAGACTGCGCTTCTCGCGGCTGTAAAGCCCCCTCTTTGGTTGACCACCCGCTCTGGTGGGGTCCCAGTTGGTTGACTGAGTCTCTGTCATTCTGGCCCCAGAATAAATACTCCGAACCGATTGAATTGCCTGGCCTACGAGCCTGAGTAGGAGTGGGCAAGGATAAGCCCACTCGGGATTTCTCCCTGCTAGAACGGTACAGCTATCTCGATAAGATCTTAGGAGTGACTGCTTGGTTGCGTCGATTTGTCCGCAATTCGAGAGACCCGTCCAACCGAATCTCTGATTCCGTTTTGTCCCCTAGCAAGCGTCGCGAAGCTTTGATACATTGGACCCGTATGGTCCAAGCGGAGCATTTTGAGCCCGTGATTTAAGCCTTGAAGCGGGGCTCCGTTGTCAAGGACGCTCTGGCTCGTCTGAACCTCTTCCTGGACGACGCTGGGATGCTGCGCGTTGGCGGACGTTTGAAAAATTCTCAACTGCCGTACGGGGCTCGACACCCGTTACTGCTCCCTAAGGACGGCGCCTTTGTTCGGTTGCTGGTAACTCACCATTTTGTTAAGAATGCCCACGCTGGGTGTAACGCTCTTTTGACTATTTTGCAGCGGGAGTTTTGGATTTTGGCTGGCCGACGCACCATTCGGAGCGTCCTCTTTAAGTGCATACCTTGTTATAAACTGAAGGCCACCATATCGCAGCCTATGATGGGTGACTTACCACCCGACCGCGTCAGGGCCATCCGACCATTCGCTGGAGTCGGAACAGATTTTGCTGGTCCCTTCCTCGTCAAGTCCTCCAACCTTCATAACGCGCGTTCGCATAAGGCCTATCTGTGCGTTTTCGTGTGCCTCTCCACTAAGGCCGTTCACTTAGAACTTGTATTTATTATTTTTGACATTTGAGGAGCTTGCCACTGTATTCTGTAAAATTGAGGCGGTACTCAACTCTCGGCCCCTCTGTCCCCTCTCCTCCGATCCGAATGATTTGGAGGTTGTAACCCCGGGCCACTTCCTGATTGGCCAGCCTCTTAACGCCCTGCCCGAGTACCCCTTCAGGGAAATAAACTCTTCGCGGTTGAGCAGATTTAACCTGCTGCAACAGATGACTCAGAGTTTTTGGCACCGATGGTCTCTGGTGTTCGCTGTTGAACTGAATTGGTGAACGCCCACTGGAGGGATCGCACATTTGGAGAAAAGCAGCGCCTGTTGATCTGCTGTCCGACTACATCGCTTAAGTCAGGTGACATTTATACACACTTTCACTCATTACTTACATACACCTCACTTACCACCTGACTGGTACCCTGTCGTCAACCTTACCTCCGGAACTCGGTAAGTTTTTGTTTGCTTAGCAGCCATTAATAATAATCCATAGGCCATTGGGCCCGAACTCTCTGGTTGCTCGTCGAGTGTATTACTGATGGGCCCTAATACAGTCGACTTCTGCCTGGGCAACTGAGAGACGTAACAGTATCCTTATAATTATATTTTCATTTTGTTTTTAACATTTAACATTTATTGATATTTGAAATGGGTTTAAAAAAGCCTGAAATAAATTACTATTATTATTATTGTTATTATTATTGTTATAAGATGCTCAGTATATGGATGTATTGTATCTCAACCTCATAACATTCCGTGGGCTTCATAAAAGTAGATTAAAAGTAAAGGCATATTAGCCACATGACTAGTACTGTAATATATCCGCCTACCGAGAGTGATAATTAAGGCAAATCCTCGTGGCAACGGGAGGGACACATGTTCTGAATTTTACGAGCTATCGAAGAACAAAGAGATAACAGAAATTATAGACATGTTTGCTGTATCCTTACCATATCTTTGGAGTCTTAGTTATTTTTAATGCTGCACAGTTGTTGATTATTAAGGAAGTTATATTTTCTCAAAAGTATAATGTACCTATATGTGTAGTATTGAATTATGGACCAACATGACGAATGTTGAATGTGGTCTGTTACCGAAAGCGAAACTAAGAAACTGGCCAAGATATTTTCTGCCGACTTCCAAAAAGGAGACGGTACTCAATTCGACTGTATGTTTTTTTTATGTGTGTTACCTCATAACTTTTTACTGGGTGAACCGATTTCCATGATTCTTTATTTGAAAGCTGGTACTTCTCGTGTGGTCCCATATGAATTGATCAAGGTCAGACCAATAGTTTTTGAGTTATTCTTAATAACTTATATTGAAGTCAGCTGTACAAAATTTTTAATTTTAAATTATAGTTAATTAGAAAAAAAAATGGTTAATCGTAACCATTGATCCAATTTTGTACAAGAAAAACACCGTCAGTTGCCTCTAATTAATAACAGTTTCACATAGTAACACAACCATCGATATTAACCGTGTAAACCACTCTGGAGAAAAACTGTCAGTCGTAGAACTACACGTCAGAAGTGAAAACTTCTTAGCTTCACAAACATATACAGGGTAATTTTGCAATAACCGGCCAAATTTGCAGAGAAGGTTCGGAAATTCAGAATAAGTAATATAGGCAAATGGTAAAGAAAAATTAATTAAAAAAAAAACCGGTTAAAGTTTAGAACTAAGTCGCCGGTGGGGAAGGAGTGGGGGGAGGGGTAGATACACCCCCCTTTTCCCCCTGCCGGACGTGCCTATTTTTTACATTAAATGATGAAGAATAAAATTTTTATTGAATGATTTTTGAGATAAATCGTTTTGATGGGGAGGGGGAGAGCCTTTGACCCCCCCCCCCCCCCCCCACAGTAACAGACTCCTCAAATTCAGTCGACTTGATTCTAAACTCAACCAAAAAAACTGAAAAACGGTTGACCCTGCAGGCTTACAAGGGTAAGCCTGCAGTTCAAGGGAAGTTTTCGCAAAAATTAAATAGATTTTCGAGCGCAACGCAAATTTTGTTTTTTTAGGTTTTTATTTTTTTAAATGATTGCGGCGGGACTTACGGAACTTTAATACTGCTCGTATTGAACAGGCGATCAAGCGGAACCAGGGCTCCAAAGTCTTTGCTAGAGATCTCTCTGCCAGAAAGAGCCAACTTTCGAAGCTGAAGATCGAGTGTGGCAGCGTCGTTTCCGGGACACCTGAGATTTTGAGTGAGATTGAGAGGTTCTATGGGCGTAGAGCTGCCCATCATCGTTGGAGCCACACGCAAGTGTGAGTAACGATCCAAGAGCAAGTCTTATCCACACTATTCCGATGATATTCCGGACTTCAGTCTGAGCGAGATTAGAATGGCTCTCCAGCACCTTAAAAACGGCAAGGCTCTCCAGCACCTTAGAATTAAAGCGGAGCTTCTGAAAGCGGGTGAAAAACAGGTACTTGAAGTCCTTCAGAAGCTCTTTGATTCCGTCCTCAATGGTGACTTACACCGAAGGCGTGGAGCAGAAGTGCGGTGTTCTTGTTCTACAAGAAAGGCGACAACGCTCTCTAGAAGAACTACAGACCGATCTCCCATCTGAGCCGCGTCTACGTGCTGTTTTCGAGAGTCATCACGAATCGTCTCGCACGCAGGCTCGACGAGTTCCAGCCTCCCGAACAAGCCGGTTTCCGAAAAGGCTTTAGCACCCTAGACCACATACATACCCTTCGGCAAATTGTACAGAAGTCCGAGGAGTACAATTTTCCACGATGTCTGGCGTATGTGGACTATGATAAAGCCTTTTAACCGCCAAATGCCTTTTGTACGCTAACGATCAAGTCGTATTTGCGTAGTCGGCGGGCGAGTTACAAATGATTGTTACAAGGATAAAGAACGACGAAGCAGGACACTGAGTAAATAGGGCACTTCACTGTATTGTGGGAAGTCAGAATGTGACAAAAAACAAGTATGGCAACAGTGCTGGATTAGGCTCGTAAATGTAATGTATGGTAGTAAAATTGATAGTGTATCCTTAATGTACAGTTGTGAAAGTTGGATGTGGCAGAAAAAGCACGAAAGTAGAATAAATGATGTAGAAATGCAGTCATTAAGGAGTATGTTAGGGGCCATTCTGTACAACAGGGTGAGAAATTATGTTATAAGAGAAAAGTGTGGTTTGCGAGATGACCAGGATTAAGAAAGGATTGATTCGGTGGCTTGGCCATGTAGAAAGAATGAATGAAAAAAGCATGACAAATTAAATTTATGTTGTGCAAGTGTGTGGCAGGGTCGGCGAATTGGGGATATATTAAAGAGTACCCTTAACCGAAAGACATGTATATATAGGTATTTGGACGTGAAGGAGACGAGAGAAGTCTGCAGGCTGTTTGCCAAATGGAAGTCAGTAGTCTCTTCCTACCCCTCTAGGTGACATGTGTGAGTGTTTATTCTTTAATTTGTTATAGTGGAGTTCTGGTGTATGCGTGAGCTTAGGCATGTTCAATTATTCAACCTTGTAATACGGGTACAAGTGTATTAGTACTTCAAACGATATATTCCGTAAGTACCACATGATGACAGACAGAGATGGTAAAACTTAATAACAAAAACGTATCAGTCACTAAATTTTACTGCAATAAGTATACACTTTTCTGGTGTATGTAGGCTTTCTTCCCTTTTACCATGGTCGAGAAGAAGATGCAAGATGTTTAAAGGTTTATGAATGGCGATATGAATGATATCACCTGTTGAGAAGGTGCTAAATGTATCTACGTTGTTACTCAGAAATCTTGAAATCAGATTTTGAAATAAATATTTTCTTATTCATGTAATTTTAATCCGTTTTATACACGATTTGCGAAAAATGTAAGCATCCAAACAATGTAAATCTTCGTGCGTCCATGTTGAATGAGGTAAAGAAGCAAATCCAGTACCGACTTGTACCCGTCTCGTATTATGTGTCGAAGCTAAGGTTATAAGTGATGTATTTAATTTATTGAGGGCACATTATTTACTATACAACATCTTTGAGCTTTGCTACGTACATATATTCTGTCCGTACATTTGAATAGAAAAAATGCGGCAATAAAACGTGTCTAAATCGTAGTTGGTTGTACGGTGAAAGCAATGAAGGCAATGGGTTGCGTTGCGAGTATAAAGAGAGTTCACGTACTAAATCCAACGGTGAGTATTTATAGTATGCTAGAAGTTGTTTATTTTTTGCTGATTTCAAAAAGGAGACGGTAATCGTACTCAATTCGACTGTGTGTTTTCTTTTTTTTTATGTGTGTTACCTCATAACTTTTTACTGGTAAACAAATTTCGATGATTCTTTTTTATTTGAAAGCTGGTGCTTCATGAATGGTGGTTCCATATGAATTTGATCAAGTTCTGACCAATAGTTTTTGAGTTATTCTAAATAATTTATATTGAATTCGGTTGTACAAAAGTTTTAATTTTAAATTATGTTAACCTCATATCCGACCATGGTTACTACTTACAAATGCTTGTATAGTGACAAAGTTGTATGCGTAAAGTCACTCATAGGTCACAGGGCTTCGACTTGTGTGTAAAGACTTTTTTCACTTTTATTTTTGTGCCTTGCAATAATTGCTACGTGTAAACACAGCAGCAATCACTCGCCCTAGCCTAGCTTTGTGTATCTAGTTAAGTTTCGGGAGCGGTGCTGAAGCTTTATTAAAAGTAGGTACAACTAAATATGTCTCGATGAAATTTATTACAATTACATTACAATAATGTATTAAAACTAATTCAGTGCAATATTGACTTCCTTAACTAAGTGGTTACGTGACTATGATAGGTTCTACAATGAATCTTATTCTAAACTAGCTGTGTCCGCGGCGTAGCTCGCGTATATAGGTTTTACATAAAGAATTTGTCGTTTAGGTAAATGTCATTAATTGTTTTAAAGTGCAATGTATTTCGCAACTTAGTTTCAGATGTCAGCAGTCTGATTGCGGTTGCTACACAATTTCTTTGTGTTGTAACTTCTAAGTAACTTTTAACTAGCTGTGCTCTAAACAACTGACAGAAATTGAATAAAGCAAAATAAATGCGTTGCCAAAACCATGAACGAATAAATTAAGGGAGATTTAATAAAGGGGATTTCCCCGCTTATAGTCGTCGGTAAAAAAAATCAAGTTGATCATCCTAAAAGGGGAGCCGGGAGATCCATAACACAGGCTGTCCTAGTTTGGACTCGTCTCCCATGCTCTTTGTTTTGTGGAAAAAATATGTTTGAAAAAGATAAACTGCAATGTACTATTTGTGGGAAAAAATAATATTATTATTATCGGTAATGTGGACTAACAGTGCTGCTATAAAAGAGTTAGATAACCCGCTAGTCGCTACAATTTTGAAATGTGTGCTAAATACACTAAAAAGCGCTGGATTAAGCGCTAGGTGCTAAAATTTTGAAATGCGCGCTATACTTTCCAATAAAGCGCTAGTTCTAGTTCCCAAAGCGCTAAAATGGCAGCACTGATTTTGCGTTTATTATAAACACAATATCACGACATTTCGTTGCAATTTTATTACTTTTAGTTGGGTTTCGTTGTGTAGCTTGGGTAAAATTTCTTCAGTAAGTCTCAATACGATTCATGGCCGGAGAATCTCAACACCGCAATTCAGAAAAGGTTGTAATTTGTATAACTCCATCTATTACGTCCTTTGTGTGAGAAAACATCCTTTTTTTAATCTCTTTTTGTGTTTTAAGTATAAATATATTAATTATTATGGAACGTTTTTTTACAACACAAATCTTTTTATTACTATTTCTGAGATTTTATGGCGCCATTGAACAAATTCGAACCTACATTTCAAAATAATAATCATTACTTTCGATAGAATTAACCAATTTTAATAAAATAAAGATTAAATGTAACTCGAAGATACGCTTTATGAATTTCTTAACGATTTCTTTAAAAAAAAAAAGTTGTTTACTTTAGACGTGATGCGTTCTTAAACAAACAGACAGACAGACAATTCTAAAAATTATAAAAATGTACTTATTTAATTATTCTCAGTTCCCCATAATGATTTTAGCCACAAAAATATACTATACAATGTACAGAAACAGACAACATGTTATCATCATTTTTATAATATGAATATATTTAAAGAGAGATGGCGCTGCTAACATCAATTCTAAAAATAAAAGAGATTAATTGACGCGATTGATACATTATATAAAACGTAAAAGAACTTATAAATCAGTGCCTGCACAGTAAGCAAAAAAGAAAGTTTGATCCTCGCCAAAACCAACGCAATTATTGTTAACAGCTCTTTTAAAATTTTATTTACCAATTAGATTACTCGGCGGTAAAGAATAATTGTGAAAGAATAATCCAATACCAAAAGCTTAAACCGTACAATTCGTGGTCAACATGTTATTGTAAAATTATGGCTACTTTCAATTATCGTGTTTACAAGTAATTTAATATCAAAAGCTTAGTCGTCCTGACTGAATTTGGGATCAACAGGTATTAAGGCTATTTAAAGACTGCATAGCTATCTTGTTGGCGATGTAACTATTCGCTCGGACAACAAAAACAAAGCCAAAACCCAATAATTTGTGTTTTTGTACAAATGCTGGCTCCGAATGTGAATCTAATCCAGGATTCCCAATCATTAGTAAGGCCAGCTAGTAGGAAATTTTGTAACAATTCAGATCCAACATGATTAATTGAAGGAGATTTACTAATTCAAAACAAAGACAGGAACGTATTTTGACGGATGCCCTGAACGGAACAATGAGACGGTGCTAGCTGCCTTAGTCCGAATAGATGAAGAGATATTTAGCAGCGAGAAGTCATACCCAGTGGAACGACTCGCCGTGGTGTCTGCAGAGACGGATATCATACAGGAGGTAAAAAGCAGTATCTTCTTTTGTTACTTTATCAAATCGTTAATTTATCCGTCCCCAATCTAGTCAGTCATTCATAGGTTCTTTCCGTTGTAGAAAATGTTATAGGTAGTTTATTCTTGGCAGGCAAATTGACTATCACAGTACCATACGTCTTCCACCTTTGACATTGTTCCTCGTCACCGGTCCATATATTTTATGTCTGTCGAAAACAAAATGGTTCGCGATCTAGCGCAAATTGTAAAACCTTATTGGTTTTTCCTACATTTCAGAGTTCTCGGGAAACTTCTGTATCTAATTAAAAATTTCGTTTGTTTATCGCTACGTATGCGAAATTGTGGCGAGGTGACAGCTCGTGACAGTCGTAAGATTTCCTTTGTTCGTCGGGCTTACAAATGATACATGAAATCTGACAAACACTTCTATGAATTATTTACTTAGTTTCAGGGCTCTCAAAATATTCGGAGGTTATAAAATGTTATCTAATGGTTAATTTAGACCAAGAGAAAAATTATCTCATGATAAAGTTCGTTTTGTGGCTTCAGCGTAAAATAAAGGCTTAAATAAAAAAAATCGTTGTGCTTCTTCATACTCAGACGATCGTTTTAAAAATTGCTCTAAGAAACGTTTCACTGATAGGCTCTTGTCATAGGATAATTTCTTAGTGTTTTTCTATCGACTTCAAAGAGGAGCCGGTACTCAATTCGACTGATGTTTTTTTTATGTGTGTTACCTCATAACTTTTTACTGGGTGAACCGATTTCGATGATTCTTTTTTTATTTGAAAGCTGGTGCTTCACATGTGTTACATATAAATTTGATCAAGGTCTGACCAATAGTTTTTGAGCTATTCTTAATAATTTATATTGAAGTCGGTTGTACAAAATTTTTAATTTTTAATTATTTATAGCGCCTGAGGACCAGGACGTATTCACTTGCACTTAAAGAATGCTACATAGATTTATTGTGAAATAGCTTTAATATATTTTTCCTGTAATATGACCGGCGGCGGGAAACAGCGTCAAAAATGCGTCTGATAATGCTTTCCCAATCCCAAATACTTTTGCCAAGAGTAGTGATTACAGTAGTCAGACATCGGACTTTTGAGGATGAGGGGATAAGTCACTATTATAACTACAATAAATTTTTATTAATGTATAAATGATTTAGAATAAATTTATACATAAAATAATTAATATATAAATTGTGTTTTAGGAAATTAATATATTCGCAGAAACTACAAGAATTAAAAAGAGGGGTGTCGATTCTTATGGGAAAACTCTTCACGAAGTATGTTGCTAGTTACTATTTAAGTTTATGGTTTACAATCTACATTATAGTACGATAAAGATGATTCACTAAAATAATTTATTGCGTAATTACAGATGTTCGTTAGCTTAGATCTTTACAGACGTCCGATTTTGGCAATAGAAAATGAAGACTTCGTAGCGAATGTGAACAGAAAAGTAAGCAAAAATAATGCAGTGCATTTATTTCATTTTTAAGAAAAGTAGCTTATAATTAGTCTCAGATAAAAAAAACAGAGGCAGTCATAAGGTTTTCCAACAGAAGTGAAAATTCAATGATATATGCGTATACATGTACACAGGCCACTATACTACGCGTCACTAGTCTGGCTTGTGCTTGCGCGCAATATGTTACGAGCATGTCGAGGTCATCGGTGACGCGAACCCATAAGTTTTTCTCTTACAAAAATCGCTTAACGCGACTAAAGAAATTTTCACTTCAAGATGCGCAATACGTCACGAGTATGTCGAGTTTTCGGTGACGCGAAGTCATAAGTTGTTCCCCTATTAAAAATCGCTCAACGCGGCTAAAGAAGTTTTCACTACAATTAGATTTCGTTTCACGTAAGAAGTCCCTCGGAAATATGAATGAACGGCTAATGGACTTCTTAAGTTAGAATGACTCTTCATAAAGCATAGCTTAAACTCGAGACTATAAATAAACCAAACCAAAGTAAAAGTTTAGTAAAAGTGAACTGCTGGACATTGGCCTCTTCCGTTATAGGGAGGATTTGCCTTAAACGTCACCCTTGGCATTGAAACTTGGCATTGGTACGCCAGACATCTTGCATATTTGCCGCTTCTTTCCGCCGTCGATCTAGGCTGCGGGTACTATTGTTTATTTTGTGGCTACGACTGACGTTATGAGATGGTAATACATTTGGCCGTAGTAAGGAAAAAGGGAGATCTCCCACTGGGCAAGGTGATCAGCCCGGGGAGCGGCCAACGTTCCACGTGTTATTTCGGAGCTGTTTTATACATAACGCGTTAACGTCAGAACTTTGGTAGCGCGATTAAGGGTTCAGTGCGTTTCGCTTACGGCGCGACGATAGCGCCGCCACACAGACATCTATCAGAAGCCATGATCTCCCTTATCGTTATTTAGCTTACTCTACGTTGGTATATCAAAATATCCAAGTTAAAGCTACAGAAAATGTAGAAACAGGGAGAAGTGTCAAAGTCGGGAAACGTTACTACGATCTCCAATCATTCGTTCGTTGTAACTACTTGTTAACTGTAAAGATTTTTACTGAATTCATCTCTACTATTGGAAAGGCTTATGTCCATCAGTTTAGTGTAAATCTTTTCGCTTTTTTCTTGTATGTTCAAAACTGATAAGGACTTTAATAATATCTTGTAGTTTAGTAAGTATAAGCTTTGCAGGAAATGCGCCAAATTGAGCTTAACTGGTTACACACTCGGCACGAAGACCTTCAGAATGAGAAAAGAATACTGCATGCACGGATACTGCGAATAAGGTCATTGAATGGAGTGATGCAACAGTTACTTGGTGAATATCTACTAAACATTTTATATTTAATTTACATTTTAAATATGATTTTTACGGCCATTACGTTTTTTAAATATTATATGGGCTGTTTGTTCTTTTATATTTGGAGGATAAATTAATTTTATACAAACTAGAGGTTTTACGGACAACACCACAGCCAACAATTACGCAAAAATATAAATATTTATTTTCAGACTGGTTGTGTTCTTACTTGAATGTCAAAGACAATGAGATACCTTTTTCTTTGACAATGAACCTTAGCCCACCTCTAATATAATCGCTCAAGTGGCACATCGGGCACGGGCACGTGTAGATTTGGTTAAATAAGTGCCTCAGAGTTTTCGCGTATATATATGACAATATAATATCTCCTGCGTAGTTGATAGTTTCCTCTTATATTAACGTCGTCACCATGGTCAAAAATTTACAAGGAGAACATCATTATCACCATCACCTTAGACGTAGACTAGGACATGTTAGTATTTTTCTGTTAACGTGTCCGCTACTTATGGCAATATAATATCTCCTGCGCAGTTGATAGCTTCTTACTACATTAAAGTTGTTGCCGTGGTCGAAAGTTGGCTACAGGAATATCATTATCATAATCACCTTAGGCGTAGGCTAGGATGAGTGAGAATCTATGTAAAAGCGCACCTGTTTTGTTGTGTTATCTAGCTACTAAGTGGTTATAGCTGTCACCGTTTGGACATCAAAACGGGTCCGAGGCTTAGCAATGAGAACACGGAACAAGTATTTGTATGCCTTAGAAATAACTGTTTCGGTTTTGGATGTTTGTCCTTGCGTAATTTATGTATGTAAACTGCCTCCACAATACAGAAAAAATCTTAGTATGGCGTACGTCTTTTTCGACAAAATAAACATAAATAAGTATTTGTTTTAGCAGTTTATCTTTTGGACCTGGTTTTAAACAATAATTCTAAATTCTAATGTTACACACTTTTCCTCCATAATGGCTGCCTTTCTCAACAAACAGCTTAGACTAGCCAGAGTCATCATGTCCGCGTAGCTTTTTGATTACTAAATTTTTTTTAACTTAAATAAGCCAGTATTGGACTACTATCTCACCTGATGGTACGTGATGATGGTGCCGGAGATGGCAAAGCGCACTGGCGTGGCTTGATAAAAGCTTATTCGCTTTATTTCGTTAGTTCACTTACATGTCTAATAACAGACTAGTTTGGCTCTTCAGTTAGTAAACATTAACCTTCAGCAGATCGTGTTCAATTAACACATATGTAATATAGTCAATAAAACTTTTATATTTTATTATAATTTGTTTCTTCACTAAGTAATAAATATAATAGTAACATGTTATAAATAACTCTAGATGAACAATGGTTTGGTCCTTCGAGCCAGATTGAGTACAATATTATACCAATCACTTTATTATTAATATGTAATATGTAATATAGTCAATAAAACACTTATATTTTATAATAATTTGTTTATTCACTAAGTATATAACTATAATAGTAACATGTTATAAACAACTCTATATGAACAATGGTTTGGTCCTTCGATCCAGATTAAGTACAAATTATACCAATCACTTTATTATTCAATTGTGCACAGCGACAAAAATGTTTTTTTTTTGTTGAAAACTTTGCGGGTTTAAATATTTTTGTTGAGATATTGGGAATTGAGACCCGTTCAAAAAATATAAACAGTTATTAAATATTGTACTCGTAATAAGTATGAAAGCTAGTCTGAAATGTTTCTGCCAACTGCTTTTTGGGGTGAAAAATAACAGTTTAGTATAGGTATAGTCTTATTTTCGAGGTTAAGGTCGGTCAATCATTTTAACGTTACTATATGCAGCTATATACTATATGGCATACAAGGCAATATATTATTTACTATAATATAGTGACTATGTTTTTAGATAACATTTCCAGTGATAGACCGGACACACCGCTTGAGGAAGCACTGAAACGAGCGCGTGCGTTATGTCACGCACTTGCGTCTGTAAGTGTGCGGTTGCAAGCCGCTGTCAATTATGCACATGCAGCCGCAAGAACTATGGACGAAGCATTGCCTTCTTGGAAGTTGTTGTCCCTAGGGAAGTGAGTAAATTATACCTAAATCATATAAATTGATATCCATTTCGATATTGGTTTCTTAGCTAAAAATGCATAAAGTTATGCTAGGGTAGGACGATACCCCCCTCCCCCCCTGAACGGGTTCCGGCCTTGTCGTGGTGGAGGTGCTTAGTAGCCGTGGCTTGGTCACCTGCAGTGAACAAAGAGGCACCACTTGACTGGCCCGTGGTGTAGGGCCGGCCCGAGGTGGCCACTCCGAGTGGGCTTGGCGAGCCCACTTCGGATGTGTGTCGGTGGTACGAGAGGGGCGTCCTCTTCCCATACCCCTGCAGTCGAGATGGAGTCGCGGAGGAAGAGAAGTGTTGGTATGGCGATGCGCCACTCGCCTTATCGTCCGCGACTCTAACGGGGCCGCACCGTTAATTGATGCGGTGGTGGTGGGGCTGCGGGGGGAGAGGAGTGTGGGTATTACGAGGCGCCGCTCTTCCTACCCTCCGCAGCCGAATCTTGGTTGGCGGCGGAGCCATAGACCAGATCCGCCGCTGGGGTCAGGAAGACTGGTGCTTCTGAGTGCTAGATTTTCCTGGCCCCATGGCCTTCGCTCATCGTATACGGAGGCGTCCGTTGCACATGTGAAATTGGAGGCCGAGGAGGAGGGCGCGCCATGTGTTCTGGTGCGCCTTACCTGAGAAGGAGATGGGGGAGGAGTAGTCCTCTCCCGAGGAGAGGCCGCCATGGGGTGGCCAGCACAGGTGGAGCCGCGGATGTGTGCGAAAGCGTTCCCGTGGCCCTGTCAATATGCGACGAAGGTGGAACACCATGGGGTTTTAGTCGGTGCGAGTCCGACATAACCCGTCCTTGCCCCACGAGGCGGGTATGCGTATTTCTCCATATAAAAAAAGGGTAGGACGATAACTAACCACAAACAATAAAGACTTATGCGTACTTCAACGTTATTATAAATATGTTTCGCTTTTTAGTATGGTTTAATTTAGTTCTGTACATTTTACAGCCGTTGTAGGATTTAGTTTAAAAATTATATTTTTTGAATATTGTGTCAACAACTACAAAAATCATCATCATAATTACAGCCCATTACAAATCCATTGCTGAATACGGGCCTTCTCAAAGGAACTTAGGTCCCCATCCAAATGCATTCATTGACATCTTACTCAGCTAATGAAATAATATTAACCAACCAATATTGAGCGGTAACCAGTATATCAATAATGTGATAGCAAAATATTAGCATATTAGAATTATAATATAATTACATCAAATATTACGAATACGTTAACAAATAGTCAAAGACATTTAAGTAGTTAATATACTTATATATTTAAATCTCTTTGCAAATAGTATTACATCGGTTCCACCACTATATGTGACTAATCGGTGACTTGAAGGTGACGTGACTGTTAAATGTACTCGAACCTTTACTCTTTTATATATCTTTTAGAAATAAAGCTCCTGGAGATTTTTATAGGCTGAGGGAGACGGATTGTAATACGTAACACAAGACAAAACCTTTCCCACTTAAAATTACGATGTGTGGTGTGCAGCCCCTTTTCCCATTCACCTACCGCACTAGTGTATAGATCGATTAATAAATTCATCGTTAATATGACCGATGGGCTCTTATGACGTCCAGGCTGTCAGCAACCAACTTAAATCAACCCCTTATAAGCAAGTTCATACGTAGTCTATTGCTGGACACAAACCTGTTAGATATTTGCCATAATTGCTTACCATGGCAGGTAGTAACAACCTCATGTAATATGTATGATCCCTGTACGTGCCAGACGTCTCGTACCTTTGAAGTAAGACTCCGTCTCTGATCACATCATCCTGGATATTTTTTATATGTATGTTACATTACACAACCTACTATAGTAAGCCAAAACTTCCAGGTATTCAACTTCGAAATTTGTTTGCGATTGAGAACCAAATTTAATTAATTTATTTGTCAAGTGATTGTTCTAGAAACGGCTGGGAACGTACAGCGGCTTGTGCAGATGCTTGCCGCCTGCTGGTTCGGGCGCGGTGTTTAGAGAGGGCCGCTCGCCGTGTACTGTCCGCCTCCGCCGCTCCACGTGCCGCGCGCTCTCTCCGACTTGCGCTAGACTACGCGTTTACTGATGCCTTGCACGATCATAAGTTAGTTTTAGAAATGTTATAAAATACAAATTAATAACGAATGCAAATACTTATTTTACTTTACTGAAATTACAACTTAACTGAATCGTCTGAAACTTTGAAGTGGTTTTTTTAATACGATTTGTTACAGTAGGCTTTTGAATTCTGAAATAAATTGAGTTCAGAGCAAGCTAGCTTTGGTAGGTGGCAGGACTCCTTTACTACCGACTTCAAGAAGGAGACGGTACTCATTTCGACTGTATGTGTTTTCTTCTTTTTTTTATGTGTGTTACCTCATAACTTTTTACTGGGTGAACCGATTTCGATGATTCTTTTTTTTATTTGAAAGCTGGTGCTTTACATATGGTCCCGTATAAATTTGATCAAGGTCTGACCAATAGTTTTTGAGTTATTCTTAATAATTTATATTGAAGTCGGTGGTACAAATTTTTTAATTTTAAATTATCTGTCTCTTTTTCTGGAGGTCTGTCTGTGAGGTACAAGCTTCTTACCTATTTCAGCAGCCGTCAAATAGCAGTACTTACCTCCCCAAAGATCTACTAAGTGTGCGTTGTTTGTGGATTAGCAGTGGTCCCAAGCAACCGCCGGTACGACATACTCCGCCAATCGTTGAGTCCGCATACTCCGAGAGGCGTCGAGGTCACCGGCTCTTAGGTAGATTCTTAGGCACTCAAAATCGTTCTCGGCTTTTCTGTGTCTAGTCGCGCAATTGAGTGCCATCTAGCACTTCCCCCAACCCTTTCTTAAGGAAAAATAGTTTTGTTAATTTTTTTATAGGTTTGATAATAATGTTATATTTACAAGCTGTGAGGTATTCCATCTCAGTCCTCAGGTGTGACAAATACATCTATAGCCATTCTTTGTTTGAAGTGGTCTGCAGTAGCCGCTTACTCAGGTGGACAGCTAGTTCGCTTGTCACTTCAGTTTTAAAGAAACTAACTACTGTAATAATAAGTCATCTCTAATCAAAGACCTCTGCCTGCTAACATTACACTAGAAAATAGTTTCGTAGTTGATTCTAATAGAAAAATATAAATATTTTTATTGGATGAAATGGATTATAGCGATACTTTCCATCATAGATTTTGAATGTATGTGCTTAGACCGGAGTTTACATTTGTACAAATATCCAAATTGGTGAGTTTCGGGACTGGATGTGTTGTAATTTTCCTGTATCTCCGTCATTGCATCCAAGCATACCACCTACCCTCCCATGTATATGAATATTGCAATTTATCTTACTAAAACTAGCGTTTGCATTAAAACTTGCGTTTGTTGAATATTCTGTACAGACTTTTATCTTCTTTGTTGCAGGTACCAAAAGGCGACAGAAACCTTAGTCCAGTTTAAGGAGGCTCTCTCGCTGTTGATTAATTGTATTCACCAGGTATGTAAGTACATTGTAATAACCTAAGGAGTTGATTTTCAACAATTTCCTTTTGGAAGGTTTGAAAAATTACAAATTCTTTTAAAATATGTGCAAGCATTTGTAATTTTGCAATAATGCTAGAAATATTCGTTTTGTAGCGTCGAAGTCGTGAACGGCATTCTTTAGTAGCTACAAACGTATGGATGTGCGATCATTGTTATTCTGGCGCTGCACAATGTTTTAGCCAACAAAATTTAAACTTTATGGTTTCTTTCTCTAAACTTAAAATCATACATCCTCCAAAACAATTTGATTAGTGATCTTACTGCTTTGGTGTAGTGTTGATGGTAGCACTCTGAAGAGTGATTTCCTACAAAAACATAGTTCAGGTCTCATGCGTAGAACGCGTATCCCATGCGCGAAAGTTCCAGCTCATTGCACGCGATTCATGTATAAGAAGCAATGTAAGTGACTCCACGAGGATTGAATTTATGAAATTTCTGTATCTCACAATCATAAACACGCAATTTGAATTGCACTTCTCTCTAAGTATGGTCATAAATCATGACGTATGGATTGGACCTAAGTTAGTAATCTACTACTGGCTATAATAAAATGAATGACAATTTTTAAATAACACATTAACACATTGACATTACATTATTTGACGTAACAATAGATACTGTCAAAACTTCCGTCATTTTAAAGCAGTTATTACTTATTTGCGTGAATAAAAATGAATAGAGCTTATAGTAAAGTAAAAAGAAGTCTCAATTTATTCCAACATATTCAAAAAAGAACGAAAGCACACGATATAAATGTCTTTATAAACGGTAAAGCTGTTACAGTGCCCAGTTATTTCACAGTGCTGCAAGCGTTGCAAAGGGAGAATGTTACGACACCGACATTTTGTTACCATGAGCGATTATCTATTGCGGGAAATTGTCGTATGTGTCTTGTTGAGATAGAAGGAAATTGGAAACCACAAATCGCTTGCGCTACTCCGGTATCCAAGGATATTAAAATCCGCACAAACTCTGAAATGGCGTTGATGGCACAAGAGAGTGTTTTAGAATTTCTCTTAGTCGATCATCCGTTAGATTGTCCGATTTGCGATCAAGGCGGTGAATGCGACTTACAGGACTTAACTATGAGATTCGGCAACGATAGAACCAGGTTCACAGATATACATTTTTTAGGAAAACGAGCTGTAGAGAACAAGAATCTTTCCCCTCTCATTCGAGCTGAGATGACCAGATGTATTCATTGTACTAGATGCATAAGATTTGCCTCGCAAGTCTGCGGTATGGAAGTTTTAGGAACGACCGGTAGGGGAGGTGAAATGCTTGTCGGCACTTACGTAGACAAAATGTTTTTCTCGGAGTTATCTGGAAATATTATAGATTTGTGTCCCGTTGGTGCATTAACTGCTATCCCATATATGTTCAAAGCAAGGCCATGGGAGGTCAAGAAGACTAACTCCATTGATGTCACAGATGCAACAGGAACTAACATTGTTCTTAATCATCGATTTGATAGGGTGTTAAGGGTGTTGCCTCGAGAAAATAATGAAGTAAATCAGGAGTGGCTATCAGACAAAGGTCGTTGGGCTATCGATTCTCTGGAAATGCAAAGACTGGTAACGCCTATGTGTAGAAAAGATGGGTGCTTATTTCCGTTAGAATGGGACACGGCATTAAAAATGGCCTCAAGATTAATTAAATGCACAACACCTAATAAAATCATGGCTATTGCTGGCTCGCATTGCAGTGTCGAAACTTTAGTTGTTGCGAAAGACTTTCTAAATATTCTTGGTTCAGAAAACACTTTTGTCGAACGATGTGTTTCGTACTCGACGTCAGGTAGCGACCTCAGAACGGCATATTCTCTGAATGTAAATATGAAGGATATTGCTACAGCTGATAAAATTTTACTAGTAGGAACAAATCCTCGTTTTGAGGCACCCATTCTTAACGCTTGGATAAGACAAGCGTACGTCTTTAATGAATGTGATATTTATGTAATAGGACCAGAGTGCGAATATAATTACCATGTGAATTACTTAGGCAAAGATATGAGTGCCTTGTCCAAGGCGCGTGAGGCTTTGAAAAATGCAAAGAAACCTCTCATATTTGTTGGTGTGTCTCAATTAGGTGCTGGGTATAGTGGTGGGATGATGAGCGCACTGACCCGTTTGGCAAGTAGTTTAAACTCAGCGCCAGATTGGGGAATATTAAACATAGTTACGTTAGAAGCGAGTTTTGCTGGCGCGTTGGAAGCTGGCTGGAAGACTGGAGCGCTTCCAGCTTTAACACAATATAATCCGACTTTAGTAATATCCTTAGGAGCCGACGACATTTTCTATGATTGGTGTCCACCACCTGAATGTACTGTTATCTATATAGGCTTTCAAGGTGACAGAGGATCAGAAAATTCATCCCTTATATTACCAGGCAGTGCTTATACTGAATCCGGGGGTATATTCTTGAATATGGAATGTCGCTCGCAACATGCGTTGCCTGCGGTAACCCCACCGGGCAAAGCTCGACATGATTGGAAAATTATACGAGCTCTAGCTGAATGTAGTGGTGTTTGTTTGTTTTATAACGATTTAAATTCTCTGTGCTGCAGGTTAGGTCAAGTCAGTCCAAATTTCACTCATTTAGATAAGTATCAGTCTAAATTATTTTCTGAATTAATTTCACCAATGATTGACTCTAGTGGAAGTACTAGTGGATCTTTAGATGTTAAGATGAAAACGATTAAAGATTACTTCTGTTCAGATGTTTTCACCTATAATTCAACAACCATGATAAAGGCTCAGAAAGCCGTTAACGATTTTACAAGCACTTCTAAGTACGTCGCCATTTGAATTATTTTCTTATAGTTAATGTTGGTAGATAATTTATATTACAATCAAATAAATACTTATTTTTTATACAACTTCGTGTGTATTTACTTATACGTTATCCTTCATTGTACATAACATTATATTACGCAATAACTATACTATATTGCATATTTAATCGTACTACATAATATTTGTGCTTGGCAGGATTAGCGATTGCAGCACCAGGTGTCTCAAAACTTTCATATTGCTTTATGTCACAGGTCTACGGATCATATAACTGGTGTAAAATACCCAATTGATAATACCATCATCTCTAGCCACAATATTTTTTTTTTGGAAGTAGAGTGACAAAGGAAATGATCTGATGATAGTATGGAGTGTAGAGTAGAAGGAGGACCATCTCTGTATATGAAAAGTGTCCCTAAAAACGCGTCCAATAAGGGTGGCGCTGCAGTAGCATAGGATAAATTAAAAAAAAGCGCCAAAATTTATTAGAATAAGATGGAGAAATAAACAAGGACCGACCAATCTGCTTGGTTTTGTACTACGTAAATAGTTGAGGATTTGTATACTGGCATTTTGAAATTAATGGCAGTCATGAAATTTTATAAATATTTTAATTCAGCTGACTTCACTCCGTCTACAACAGCTATATTCATATCGTAGTTTTTCAGACGACAGCGCTATTGTGGTAGGTTTTGGAACCTCTATTTTCAGTATATATTGGGACACTTTTTCAACTTTCGCACCTTATAAGATGGTTCTCCTTCTACTCTACACTCCTTAGATGATAGTTAATGTGGATCATAGACATACAATCAAATATATATAGACAATAGACACTAGAATCAAAGATAAATGTAGCATTTATTTTTGTCTTTGATTAAAAGTAAAAATGCAGATTCTTTTTCACCCCTAAATAATATTATGGAATGCCTTGTTACCATTAAAAAAGCATCTGATTCTCGCTAGCCACGATATAAAATACAGCAGCAATATGTTGCTATTTCACGCTGCTATTCTGCGTGGTCTTTTCTCGATCCAGCCGACCGCATTCGTGCTGTAGCGTGCAACGTGACTCCAAAACTTTACGTTTTACTTCATCGGAATAAATAATTTATTTACGAAAACCCAGGTACACACGAATATTCTCCAGCATAATCAAGTTAGCAGTGAAAAGTTAGTAGCATTGAGATTTGCATGGGAATTTGTAGTCAATTAGTTCCATCGGACAACCAGACGTATGGCCAGTCTCCACCCTTTCTTTGTTGATTTACCACGCATTTGAACCAAACTGTTTGCTACATCGTTCATCATGCGTACAGCAAAGGAGTGTAATAAGTTGTCAGCATCCGTGTTTCCATCCGATTACAATGTGGGTATCTTAAAGGCAAGTGAATAGGCTTTTGTTAAGCAAGTATGCTTCACCATCTTAGGCTACATCACCACTTACCATCAGGTAGGATTGTAGTTAAGCGCTGGCTTAGAACAATATAAAAAAGTTTGCTATCATTACATCAGTAAAGTTACAACAGTTGGCAACCGCAGTTATTTATTTATCAAGATGATATTGAGTAAAGAACTTTCTTACGCCGCGTTATTCCGCACTGTAATGCATACTCATACATTATATGAATGCTAGCATGTATTACTTTAATTTTAGTTTATTCTTTCGCCAGGTACTTTTGAATAACATGGACCATTTGGCGGCGGCTGAGAAAGACGTGCAAATAAAGCGGAAAAATCTCCGGATGGCAAGAGTTGATGAGATTGTAAAGAAAGGTTTAGCTGATTTAACTTTTGACTTAAAATTACTTAAGAGCTTGCACACAAAGAAATAAAAAATATTTTTTGGAAAAATAGACTTGTCACCATTAAGAGAGAGAGAGAGAGAGAGAGAGAGAGAGAGAGAGAGAGTTATTTTTCAAAAAGTAGCCTAATTTTATATTGAAGTTCAAATAAATAAATTATTATACACTCATATTACATTTTGTTGAAAATACGAGTAAATAAGGCTTCTTCTTTCATTTGAAATATCCGAAATTGAATATGATTTATGTTCAACAACTACTCTTACGCGTGCTCCTGTGTATGTGATTCAATTCACGTTTTCATTTCTCAAGTTTCTCAAGAGTCTCAACGCTATTTATGCTTAAGATAATAACTACATGACGCGAATTATGATTCCAAATTTACTTTTACACTTTTAACAGGCTTAGGATCGTCATAATAAATTAAATACTGTATTTTTGCTAATCAACGACGTCACCGACGACGGTCCTTATTAAAGCGTATTTAAATAATTTGAATAAACTATTTACAACTAAATTACGCAAGTAGTCGCAATATCTAATATTGGTACCCCAAAATGGAATCCGTTTCTGGATACGAATAACTAACACACCACATATTAAATAACCATTTATTCATAACGTAAATTCAAAGTAGCGGATCGGAGCGCGAATGAGCCTAATGGCGTTGAATGATAGTATCGACTGGCGAGGCCAGGAAAAACGAACTGGTTGCTTCCGCGCAGCCGGGGGTTCTCGAAGATTGCCAAACGGTCAAATAGGCCAGGCCGTTCATTATTGCATAGACGAGCACGTTTTCTTTAAATATTTTTTACACTTGTTCCCTGTTCTTGAGCACTTTTATCTTCCGTGAACGCAGCAATAATTTTACTGTGGCGGTCTTCATAACTTTGGACTTCATTGACGTAGACACGACTTTATATACAGAGATAACGGTGAAAGTTCCGGTGAGTTTGCAGATTCACTATTTAAGTTATCGCTCACTGCAATTGAATAGTTTAATTATCTGTAAATTTTTGTAAATTTTAGCGTGTATGCGTAGATATATGGATGTAAAGGAGGCGAGAGAGGTGTGTCAGGATCGCGCCAAATGGAAGTCCGTAGTCTCTGCCTACCTCTCTGGGTAACAGGCGTGAGTGTTTGTGTGTAAATTTTTCTTCGATTAGTAAGTTAATTACAACACGTACGCTAATTTCTCACCGCGTTTCATTGTTTTAAATGTAATATCGCACCATTCCATAGTTTCATAACATCCACGGTTCAAATATTTTCGTTACGTCATTGGTAGCGAAGCGTACGTAATGAGGTCACGGTCAACAGTAAATTGTCGGCCGGACGAGCGGACATGGGTACTTAATGGTGTAATGGTAGAAGACTGCGGGAAGACGCGCGTCAAGGTACTTTTCCGAGCAACCCTTACGTATGTGTGCGTGCGAGATAAATTCAGTCAAAATAACGCATTTTGAATTCAAAGGATAAAAATGACAGAAAGTTTGAGATTTTTTCAATTAATTTTTCGTCACCATTTGCCTATATTACTTATTCTAAACCTTCTCAGCTTATTGCAAAATATACTGCCTCGCTGGTTATTGTAAAACAACCTTGTATATATCAACCTGGCCTCTCCTCATCCTCACTGTCATCTGATGGGGTCGACCATGGTTTTCGTGGTCTCGTATATCCTAGTCTCTCCGATCTTAATCCAAAAAGCGTTAGGTACCTACGTAGTTCTGCGTGGTTGAGCGCTTTCAATACGATTCTGATAGTTTCAGTGGAATCAAAATCAATCAGAAGGGAATCCACAAACAAGTTAATATTGTAATTTTTTATAACAGACTACATTGTTTATGGAATATTTGAGAGAAGGCAGACATTTTGATTGATCAATAATCACAGAACACTAATACCCTTAGGCGTCAATAATGTTGAGTAGTTTAATTATGATATATGAGTAAAGTTAGCTGTTAATTTTGTAAATAAACACTACTGAAATTAGTAAAGTAAGTTAGGAAGTTGGTTTTGGACGTATACCTCTCCCATTATAAGGATAGAAGAAAATACATCATTTATTTAACTACGCGGATCTTAGCAAATATATTTTTAACATCTGTAATATAAAGGATTTCCGCAAATTAATACCTAATTCTATTAATTAACTTAATACGGAGAACTGAGGATGAAAATTCTGCTATTTTAATTCAGTATTCAATTCTATGGCAGTAAGGCTTATGCCCGTTCAAAAAGATATTTTTTTAGTATAGTTATGACAAAAAAACATAGTTTATCTCATCATGGAAAGTGGATATTGTCGTTCGTAGACACCTACATCTACCCTCGATAAGAAATCAAAGAGTAGATGCGTTGTCACCCCTGAGGACTAAGAAAAAATGCCTCGTTACTAGTAAATAGTCTCCAGTTTTTTTACACTTACCATACGAAACACAGCAGCGTTAAGCTGCTATTTTACGCTGGTATTCTGTGAGAGCGTGGTCTTACGAGTACCAAGGTTAAGTCGACCCATTCGTGCTAATATAGCTGCAGCGTGGCGCTATCACGTTTGTGCTGTGGCTATAATACAACTAGGAAGTGGTTTTACCAGGGAAAATTGTTAGTTCGTTTATAACAGTTCCATAATCCATTCTGAAATGAAAGGCCTTTGTCCAGCGATGGGGCAACTTTAACTTTACTTTTTTTATTGTATCTAACTATGACGATTACTGTACGTTAGCCTCAGTTTACGTCACTAGACGGCCATCAGAGTGTTGTCCGTCAATCAGCAGCTAGCAACACTATGTGCCGACGAGGATAGCACTCGTTTCCCAAAGTAACGGTTGATTCTATTAATTGTAACATATTATTTATTTAAGTAGATAATGGGTTCTAGGAAGACTATGTAATATTTTATTAGAATAAAAAACAAATTTATAAAACACAATCAAATTTTATTAAATATCAAATATTGTATTGTCTAACACGATTCCTTAGCTATCATGTTGCACGTCAACATCGTTATGATTATGATAATACGGTTACAAATACACATTAAGAAAGAGACAGTTCAAGTTTAAAACGACAGGAGCCGAAGGAAATATAGCTTAGTGTATTTCAAAGAAACTGTTACAGAAAAATACAGTACGCAAACTCGATAGTATTCAATTATATTGTCACGAAGGAACAAGGTTTAGATAAGAATAATATTATACCCGTAAATTAACCTTTAGAAATATCAACACATTCATAAGTAATGGGAAATGTAATCACTTATGAGGAACAAAATACATTTTTGGTTTATTATAAAAAATATTGTTTTTGTATTTTTTAAAGAAATTTCTAAAGGAAGTAGTTTCAAGAGAAGTCGACACGAAGTACACTCATATTATAATTAGATATGTTTTTCACAATACATTGCTTAAATGTGATACCTACATTTGTATGTCTCTACGCGATTACGATCCCAAAACTGTACGCTTGGTTAATAATAAGGGCTTATATCTAAAATATTAAAGTATATTTTTGTGCGCCAAAGCTCTACATGAGTCTTTGATGATTCAAGCATTGCCAGTTGCAATGTGTTTTTATTAAAAAAGCTATTTGTTGAGGTTGTAGAAATAACAAAAATACAGACTAAATCCTTTCACGACTTTATAATATCCATCAAGGTAGAAGTGTGCTACAGTCAACGACTTATATGATTGGAGTTTTTGCCCCGTTCTAGTTGCATATATTCATAATATATATACGCTATGTAAGCAGAAGCGTGTATATGTACAAATTATGAGTAGTCATCTGTGCATCACTAATCCATTATGTCCAGTGCATGGTGTAGAAAAAAAATTAAAATAAAGAAATTTAAGATTGATATAATTAATATTATAGATCTAATATCAGAGACTTTATCAGGCAGACCTTGTTGTTAGTTTAGGTGACTGGTAGCATGGAATTATCTGTATTTTTATTCAATCTAAATATTGTATTGATTTGAGATAATTATATTTAACACTGATATGTGGCATGATGTGTCACGTCGTATTGGTCGCTATTGAGTTTTGCTTACATCACAACAGTGGGCAGTTGATTATATGTAAGGAACATAACGTTTAATCTTATATTAGAATTATGTAAGTATATAATGTATGCAATATTTTACTAAAAGAAAGCAGAATTTGTGCGTGGCTATTTAAAAAGAAATGAACATAGTATCTTTTGTAGCTTGGAATGCATTTGATCCTGTAACGTTTAGTGCCGTACCATAAAGACGCATTTTTTTTCTTTTTTAATGGTCGATCAATATATTTTGTTGTGTATTGAATAACATGTTTGCACTTTTTTTTTACGCAGCCGATCCTGGAAATAATCCTAAGAATGTAATTTTAATTTCCCAGTAGGAAGTTATTGTAATGGGTCGAATTCTCCATGTTTCAAATACACACACACACACATATATATATTAGTAAGACAAAACTTCCAGGTATTCAACTTCGAAACTTGTTTACGATTGTAAATATATGTGGATGTGTATATACTTCGAGGACAAAGAACGATTTGACATTCGATGCACAATAATGTAATTAGTATCTGATTTAGCTTTTATTCAAATCGGTTCAGTTGTTTTTTTATGAATAAATTATCTGAAACAATTTCAAACTAAACGCATTTTAAAATTAATAATCGGTACTTATTTTTTTTAAATATATAATTATATTTATAATGGCATTTCTATTTTCCTGTTTCATATTCTAGCTTTCCTATTTTTATTGCTTCCTACTGGGAAGTTTGTAGTGTGGATTTTACGGGTCGCACCCATTTTAATCGATCAAAATGCACCATATTGGAACTACGTTTTACATCTCATCATATAAAAGACATATTAGGTCTAAAATGACTCTACCTTTCAGCCGTAGGCTCGAGGCATTATCGATTTCCTAAACTTATTTATTTCATTCGACAACCTAGCTTAGTCAATGAAATACTTTCCATCCAAAAGCGTGACCAAAAAATTTGCGGCCAAACGCAGGAGTAAAAACATGGAAGCACTCCTGCGGACAGACTGATTGCTGGCTAAAATCTGATATTTTTTAGATAAGTACATATTACTCTATTGAATATCGATAAAATTGTCAAATCATATGATATTAGTGTATTTTATATATGTAGCTTTTTTATCCTATTTTTATTATATCAAGGGGCTATTTTCAAAATTTAAAACTTAAAATGAATTTACAACATATTATGACCAATAATCTACATATTTCCATCAAAGTTTATGTTAAAGAAAGGCTGTATGATCCGTGGCCTTCGCCTGTCTCATGGTGATTGTCGGCAACAAAACTTTATGGTACCATAAAACAAATTAACTATGAAACATCCAAAAAAATACCTAAAAATTTAATACTGGACATTCTATACGTTACTTAAAATCAAAAATTAAATATAACAATAACTTAATTTAGTACAGTCGATGTTAAACATCGATTAATCTTTGGTAATAGCATCAAATCAACAATCAACAGCCAGGCTCAATATTTCTTGTCGAATTGTTAGGATAATGATTATTCATTAATTTATTTGTAACTTGTAAGGGAAGTATAACTAAAGCTTTACAATATCTAAAGTCTACTTGCTGTAGTAATAATATGTGGTCAAAACAAATCTTATGGATAGGTACCCAAATTTTCTTCTGTAAGGTTTACGTAATAAATTATAATAAAAAACTCATATGAAAATGCATAAAAAATAGTATTATTTCCGTAGATATTAAATTAGTTAATAGGAAAATAGACCGGGCATTGAGCCACCATATTTCTCCAAACAGCAAAACTGAGTTCTCAGTATGTTAAATAAAACCTTATATTCAGCCAATACATACCTAAATAATAGGTTATTGTAACTGCTTAAAAGTATTTTTATGATTGTTTCTCTCACAACGTAAATATCAAAGTGAGACACTTTATTGACAAACAAAATGCAGTGTTAGAGTCTATAACTGAGACAAGAAAGAAAGATAGACGTAGCGCTGCGTGCATTTTAAAGTGACGTAAAAACTATGCTTAACTTCTTGACCTGACTCAGGCACTTATCTTTCTTCTTTCTGCTTAAATAACCCTTAAAAGTTCACTGCTGGACGCAACATATGCATCTAAAACCATGTTGTTGGTTGCGAATGATTTTAGATACATAATATTATGTATACATGAGTGCGTGTTTTTAGAATAAATTGTGCATGGCTTGGTTTTTGCGTAACTTGAAACATTTGTGCGTAGCGCTCCATCTTTTTTTTGGTGGTCTGAGGTACACAATTTAATGTCTTTGACTGACACCAAGCCTGGCTTTATAAATGTAACATAATAGGGTGAACACAGTCAATAATTCAACAAATGTAACACAACAAAAGACAGACGTCTACAGTAGTAGGTCTTGAAGGTCTTGAAACCAGCGATGGCGCGAATCGAGCAAAAGTTGCCACAAAACATGTTACCCTTTACACTTTTGTGATGGTTTTCATTTTCCTGCTTCTCAAACATCTGTTATGAAAGAACGAAAACATAGATTAAAAATTGTATTTTCCTTTTTGCTGCTAAAGAAATAGATTACACAACTAGTATATATATAGTTTGAAAATAAAATAATCATTGTTATCACATTGGCTTTGAGTGTTTATAGAAGACCTGACATTTATATTTACATGTATATATATATATGTGTGTGTGTGTGTGTGTGTGTGTGTGTGTGTGTGTGTGTGTGTGTGTGTGTGTACAGATAATGTAAGCCCCCTCATACTCACTATCCCCCTAAACAGTTCAACTCTGGTCATGTGACTCTCCCATGGTAGAAAGGATCGCCACGCTTGGCAGGTGGACTTGTGATCGTGGTTACGGACGTCTCGCATTCTTGGTGCTGCTTCCCGTTGCCGGTCTAGGAATTTCCGGTATGGATGCGAGAGGGTTATGCCACTACTGGTCTTACGACATGCACGCGACGAGAGAGGGTGTTAATAACGTTTCTTATGAAGCCATGATACGGCGAATAGTGTATGCACATTACATCATAGCTAGTAATAGTATTAGATTTAAGAGTCTAATATGAGATGAATATGAAATGTTTGGGCACTTTTGTCTTTTTTTAGGTAAAGTTTATGTAAATTTTTTCTTAACGACTGTTTGTATCATAATAAAGAGAAAAAAAAATTATATATTCATTCGAATTCTGCACATTGAATAAACAAACTTTTAGGATTCATGGTCACAGGGGGCTGCTTGATCGTTCTGATTTCATTTCAGATTAAGGTAAAATTTAATGTGATAAAATCCGAAAAATTAGACCTGATACTATATGACATGGACGTTTATTATTTTCAACTATCACACTTCTCTTTTTCTTTCACAATCTCTTTTACTATCTATTGCTGTGTAAGTTAGGTCTATTCAAGAATACGCTACTGCAGCCTACGAAAGTTTACCTTATGAGTCCGCGGTATATCATAAAAACGCCATACACGCTCAGCACGATTGTCGCAGTCCATACAACAGCCAAAACTGAACTGCTTCCCTCTAGAAAGAAATAAAGGTGTTAGTCATTGGACCAAGTGTGTATCGTATGAAACTATCTCAATGACTCAGTGTAACTTGGATGTCAGAGTTACAAGAAAAATCTAGTATATTTTTCATTCTGTGACGGCTACGCTGAACTGTGTATAAAATCTATGGCAGCTTGGGACAGTGATAAAGTAGTGATAAAGTAGTAAATATATAAAAATCTTAAACAGGAAATGGGCTGCAGCTTCTTTCTAATAACAAATCAAAATAAATAAAAAATGCGACATCTACATCTATCCTCAATTAAGAATCAAAATGCAGATTCGTTGTCATCTCTAAGGACTACGATAGAAAAGCCTCGTTGCCAGTAAAAATGGTTTCCAGTTCTCTATATTTACCATAAGAAACATCATTATTCTGCTGTTTGACGCTGGTATTATTCGGCGAGAGCGTGATTCTACCCCGGTCGAGCCGAACCATTCGTGTTATAATCATAATATAGTTGCAGCATGGCTCTGCCACTTTATAAAATGTTAAATTGTGCCATATAAAATAAAGCAAAACTAATGTTACTATTTTTGATGTTCTCGTTGGTAAATTTAGAAAATTATATAGTTTTGCGAACCTGATTAAAAATTTCAAGAGTTAAACTTCGAGTAGATAGCTGCAAAACTATTTAATTTTTAACGGATATCAAATGCTTTGTATATATCTTAATCTACATCTTATTCAGTAGTATTGACATCTTTGAAGCAGGTACGAAACTCAATATGATAGGTTTCGTACCGATATACGATGTACATATAGACGTACGTATAGATCAAATTACCAAGTATTGGCAACGCTAAGCTGGCCACAAAATCTCTGGCAGCTCGGGACAGTGATAAAGTAGTAAAAAGTTAGTTTATAACGAATGGAAAACAACCACAAATACAGTTTCTATGTATTACCCATATATCCGTCATGATAGTTGTCACGTTCGAGCCAGGCACGGCGCGGCTTTTCATCGCGCTCCACCGCCAACAGGTCTGGGATTTCATCCGGTGATCCAGTACAATTAGCCCACTCGATCGTCACGTATCTGTAGATATTAATTTTATATTCCTTCATTCAATTTTCACACGATTCTTCGGCATCTTTTTTGATTTCTTCGCCAGATACAAAATATTTCATCAATATATTACGATGTGTTCAAAAAACGGACAGGTATGTAACAAAGTTGGTTTTTACTTTTTATCAAAAGTAAAAACTTTTAGTAAAACTACTAAACTAAATAAACCTTTTTACATTTTATTAAATACTAGCTGTTCCCCGCGACTTCGCTCGCGTATTAGGGTTTTTATGTTTTTGCGCGGAACCCTAATTCGTTTTCTAAAATAAAAGTAGCCTAAGTTACTCCTTACGAAATCAGCTATTTGCCAGTGAAAGTCCCGTCAAAATCGGTTTAGCCGTTTCGGAGATTAGCCGGAACAAACAGACAGACAGACAGACAGACAGACAAAAATTTTAAAAATTGTATTTTAGTTATAAGTACCGTATTTACTTTCATATGCATTTAGTAAAAAACTGTAATTTTGCCATTACAAACAGACACTTCAATTTTATTTATTTGTATAGATTGTTTGTATTAAATATTGAATCAAAATATTTTGGCTTTGAAGTGTCAACAGTGTTGCTACTATTTTTAAAGCTTAAATAAAATATTACTCAGGCAATTTACGGGGGAGGTCTATGTTCAGCAGTAGATTTGTTTGATGGGTTGTAGTGATAGTGATAGCGTGATTGCCAGCGAGTGCATAGCCAGCTGTATAGCGGTTCACTGCAACTGAGTTTTTTGATTGCTTCTTTGGTCTAGTGGTCGTAAACGGTTGCTGATCGTGAGATCCTGGCTTCGAATCTCGGATCAGACCAAAATTACATAGGATTTTTCTTCTCCTTCTCAGTAGCAGCCCGGAGTCAGGAAATTGGCGGTGTTTCACCCACGTGCTTCGGAAAGCACGTAAAGCTGTAGGTTCTGCACCGGATCTCCTTCCGGTCGTGTTGGATTACCCATTTACATACATATATTACACATGTCGGTCGGTCTAACCCGCGACTCTAAAGCGCCGCAACTATTGCCGTCCTATGAGAGTGAGGGAATAGAGAGTGCATACATTCGTGCACTATAATTCTGTGCTGCGCAGATAACTAGTCTTTGTTGAGACTAGCCGCTGTGACCATAATTCGGTGTGGAGGTCCACAGTTACCTGGAGGAGGTCCGGCAGGGCCTGGTGGGCGGCACGAGCAGCTGGCGCGTGCGCGAGCGCGCCCCGCCGCGGCACGCGCCCCACGCGCCCCACGGGCCCGGCGCGCCCAGCTCCGACTCCTTGCACCCGCACTCCACCTCGCACGTCTCGTCCTCCTGAACACAGTGCGATTAGAACATTCACCCATACAGCATGTAATGTAATAAGCAACCAGGTAGAAACAACAGCGACGGGTGATTCTTTTTGGAACGTATAGTTGTACATATGGATATTTTATTACAGTGAAAATTTTTTTGGTCGTAATTCAAAGAATTTTAGTGTTTACCATAGGTAACTAAGTTTATTAAGTTACCTATGGTGAACACTCAAATAAGATTGAATTTATTCAATCTTGTAAAAAAATGTTCTTTAAATCTGAACTAACTGACAAGGTTCAAGCGTTGTTGAGAAATTGGTGAACATACATAAAAAAAAGATTCTGAAGAATTGAGAACCTCCTCCTTTTTTGAAGTCGTTTGAAAATGGTTCTAAAATGGTCATTTACATACACCGAAGTCAAATAGTCGTGGCTATCGCGAAGAACGGCCATAAGTTTTACCAGCAGAAATATCAAGTTGTGTTTTCAAGGTTTGTGCGAACTACAACAAAAAGCAGTGTAAAATAAATATTTAATATCATCGGTCAGGCAAAATATACTTTTATCAATAAATAAACTTGCTTACATTTTAAAAATAATTTTGTCAAAGTCTGGCAAAGAACAAGCGATATGCGTCTTTAGACAGCCCACACCAATCACAGCGATTACACCGTAGTTCAAGTAGTTCTAATAGATGGCGTTAGTTTTTCAAATACGGAAAAGGCGCCAGACAAATGTTCGTACGACCGTTACTTTACTTACTTTATAAATCAATGGATGATATGAATATATTTTCCACTTGCCCTATGCTAAACTGCGGCGGTGGTAGAGCCGCGCAAGTTCCGCCGCTATGGCCAGTGCTAGTGCTCATTTTTCCTGGCCATATGGCCTACGCGAATATATATATTTTTATCATCGACTCATTTCTTTCGCAGATAAGACCTCGCTATTTTCCACTTGCTCTATGCTAGACCGCGGCGGGGGTAGAGTCGCGGAAGTTCCACCGCTATGGCCAGTGCTAGCGCTCATTTTTCCTGGCCACGTGGCCTACGCGTAAATTTTTTTTATCATCGACTCATTTCTTTAGCAGGTAAGAACTCGCTATTTTCCACTTGCCCTATGCTAGATGGTGGCGGTGGTAAAGTCGCGGAAGTTCCGCCGCTATGGCCAATGCTAGTGCTCATTTTTCCTGGCCACGTGGCCTACGTGAATATATATTTTTTTATCATTGACTCATTTCTTTCGCAGTCAAGACCTCGCTTTCATACAATGTTAGTGTAAAATACTAACTCAATGCTGCAGTGTTTCGTATAGAGAACTAAAAATACTTTTTAATGGAAGCGATGCATTCCATGTTAGTCTTTTTTTATAGAAGAGGGGGCAAACAAGCATGCGGCTCACTTGATGGTAAGTGACTACCGTCGCCCATGAACATCCGCAACACCAGGGGAATTGCAGATGCGTTGCCGGCCTTTTAGAAAGGTGTAAGCTCTTTTCTTGAAGGTAAGTCATGTCGGTCCGGAAAAATCGCCAGTGGTAAACAATTCCATAGAGAAGTTGTACGAGGAAGAAAATTCCTAGTAAAACGCACAGTCGTGGACTGCCAAGCTTTCGTGCTCAGCAGAGCGAGACAGTATTTCATACCGGCACATCGCCTGCAACTTTACAAAGCGCAAGTTCGGCCCCACATGGAATACTATTCTCATCTCTGGGCCGGGGCACCCCAGTGCCAGCTCCTTCCACTTGACCGCATTCAGCACAGAGCGGTTCAAATCGTCGACGACCGAGTTCTTTCTGATCGGCTCGATACACTGGCACTGCGTAGAGATGTTGCATCTATTTGCGTATTTTATCGCATCTATCACGGGGAGTGCTCTGAGGAATTGTTCGGACTAATTCCAGTCGCTCAATTTCACCATCGCACATCGCGACAAAACTCGCGTTACCATCTATACCATTTGGATGATTGGCGGTCCACCACTGTGCGATTTAGAAGAAGTTTATACGTGGTAGAGTCATGCTGCAGCTATATTAGTAGTATAGTTGTAGCACGAATGGGTCGGCTCGACCGGGGAAGGACCACGCTCCACAGAATCAAATAGTCAAATAGCAGCTTCATGCTGCTGTGTTACGTATGGTGAGTGTAGAGAACCGGAGACCCTTTTTACTGGAAAAGAGGCATTCTATCTTAGTCCTCACGGGTGACAACGCATCTGCATTTTGATTCGCAAACGAGGATAAATGTAGATGTCTATGGGCCACAGCAACCACTTACCATCAGGTGGACTGTGTGCTCGTTTGTTACCCTATTCTAAAAAAAAAGCATCTGGTGAGGATGTTATCGTAAATTTTGACGCTATGTGCGTTCGTGAAATTTGGCGGCTGGAATAATCCGAACAATTCCTCAGGGCACTCCCCGTGGTAGATTCGATAGAAAATGCAAAGGAATGCAACATTCCTACGCAGCGCCAGTGTATCGAGCCGATCAGAAAGAACTCGATCATCGACGATTCGAACCGCTCTGCCGTAGTCTTCAGGGGTGACAACGCATCTGCATTTTGATACGTAACGAACGATATATGTAGATGTCTAAGGGCCACAGCATACACCAGATGGACTGTGTGCTCGCTTGTCACCCATATCCTATAAAATAAGATAGGAACATTACTAGGTAAACTTTTTATAAACACTTTTTGTACTTTGTTCCTTACTTGATAATGTAGCGGTGGGGCCGCAATGCGACCAGGCAAGGCTGAAGCGCAACGCCAAGGTTCCAAGTAAATGTCAGCTGCGTCTCCTGATCCGCTCAACTCACAGCGCGCGTGGGATACCTTAACGCCCCAGCCACAAGCGTTGTCCGCTTCGTCGCCGGTAGAAGTCTGAAATTATTAGAATTCCTTACTGTTCGTACGGTAAATAATCTTCGTGTACGTTTAATATTATTCTCAGACATGGTAGTTTATACAATTTTTTTTAATATAACTATTTTGGAATAATAATTCCCTTTCTGTACAGTCGCGTCTGTTGGTCTTTGGTCTAGTGTCATCGTAATACAGCGTCTCTGCTAATCATGTGGTCTCGTGTTGGACTAAAAACAGTTATTAGATTTTTCTTTCACGAAATTTTCAGTAGCAATCTGGAATTAGGAAGTCCGCGGTGTTTCACGCTCGTGACAGTCCCATCAGACTATGAAAGTGAGGGAATAGAGTATGCTTGTGCATACACTCCAATTATATCTAGCTATTAAATATAGTCTCCGATGAGACTGGTCTTTTATTATTATTTTAATTCTGTAAAATTAATAGCCTATTATTGAATATTGATACCTGAACATGGCAGCCAAGTGAAGGTCTGGCGACGAGTCGTAAGCAAGGCTCGCGTGGACAGGGGGCACGCTGCTCAGTTGGAGGGCACGCCCGCCCCGGCCATACTGCTGCCGTGAGGCGTTGTCTGCGGAAATAACTTTTTGGTAGTGGACTATAACATCTTCACCTCTATACATAATTATAAATAAAATTGAAGTGTCTGTCTGTAATATCGAGATTACATGGCATTAGGGCATAAATAAACGTTTTTAACCATGTTAGAGCCATGCCGCATCTATATTAATAGTATAGTTGTATCACGAATGGATCGGCTCGACCAGGAAAGGACCACGCTCTCACAGAATACAGAGGCAGAGGCATTCTATCTAGTCATCACGGCTGACAACGCATCTGCATTTTAATTCGCAAACAAAGATAGATGTAGATGCCTATGGGCCGCAGCAATCACTTACCATCTGATGGACTGTGAGCTCGTTTATCACCCTTATTCTATAAAAAAAAAACTATATATTTTTTTTAAATTTTCTCCTCTGTCTGTCTGCCTATCCGAGGTAATCTTCGGAATGACTGAACCGATTGTAATGAAACTTAACGAATAGATAGAGAACATTGACAGGAGTGATCTGGGCTTTATTTTACCTAAATCGGCGTCGAATTTTTCTATTAAGATTCACCACACGTCCACGCTAAGTTTATGTGGCAACCATTTCGAACAACGCTTACGAAAAGAAAGTTGGTTGGCATTACTACTAATGTAATAACCAGTGATCGCCCAAGCTCTATATTGTAGCTGTGTAATTCCTCGATCTTCCTTAATAAGTTTTTCGACAATACTCGAACATTTTCTCGAGTGAATACGGTTGGCGTCTGAAATATCTTCCCCGTCCTCTCTGAATTTAGTAAACCTATAAAAACTGTTGCTCGTGAACTGTTTGTTGTCAGAAACAGAAACAGAAACTTTATTACTCAATATAGATTATAAATAATACTAATTGAAAGTCACTCTTTTGTTTAATTACTACTGGTTCGAAAAAAATCTCTGTCCTGCGAGTAACTAGCAAGAAACCCAGCGGGACTTTTTTTCTAAAAATAACAGCTCACAATCATGTATGTTACACAATTAACCACACAAAACAGATTAGAAATAGCTTGGTAGTGATAATTGTCTTAATATTATAATAACCCTTTTTATACAAACTTTGTTTAATAAAGTTTTTGAATTTTGAGCAGGTGAAATTTCGTATGTTTTCTGGGATTTTCTTGTAAAAGCGTATACATCGCCTCAAGAATGAATTACTGACTCGGTGGAGTCGAATAACTGGTACTACTAGCTTGTGTCTGTTCCTAGTATTTACACTTATTTTTGTATAACTACCTTTATTTTTGTGTACGTACATTACATTTTAATAAATGTACTGAGAGGCCAAAGTTAATATATTAATTTCCTTAAATTTTAGTCTCACCAAAAGCAGTATCCAAAAGTTAATGAAACTCTTGGTGAACTCTTTTTTTTATTTTCACATTTATTAGTGAGTTCAGCCTTTACCACGATTTGTAGCTTGTTTTGACAATGGCTTTTAATAAAAGCGGCGTAAAAAATCAATTTGGTTTCGTGGATTTTTTGGATTAGACTAATAAAATGCCTCATACAAATTCATTATCTCGGAGTGACACTTGTTGCGCCACCTACTGGAAAGCGAGGACATCTGCCGAGCTAGCTGGTATCTAATGAAATCCCACAACAGTAGAACTATCTCAAATTTTGGCCAAAATACATTACAAGAATACATTTCCAGATATAACAATAGACTGATGAAGCTGCAGCTGCGGTGCGAGAGTTCTGTTTCTACTATAGCCTATCTGCCTGCAAACTTTTTAAATAAGCAACGATAAAAAAAAACTTTTAAGGGCGGCAGCGTCGAAGGTGCACGATAACTGGTACTGCGATCGTCGATCTGAAACTGAACCTTATTCTGAAGATGCCCATATCCAGTTGCAGGCTTTTGATGAAGAAGAAGATAATGAAACTAAATGTGTGGATATTGTTATAAAGTTTTTCATTATTATGATATCACAATAATACCTTGTACGGCGCATGTGCCGCGCCACTGTAGCGTCTCCACATGTGCAAGCGGAGGTGTCCCACGCGCCCCACTCGCTGAGCTCACAGTCCACTCCGCACGGAACGTAGCACCACGACTCGCGGGCTTCTGTTGCTGTGACGTTCTGTTCACATAATGTAAATACATTTCGTTTTAAAATATATTTACTGCGCAGGATGCACGTGCTAAACAGAAGCGAGGCTCAGACGACCGAGAATTAGCGATATATTATTTCTAAAGTAACCAGATAGTCTGCTCATGTATTTCTAGGGCCCAAAATCTGCACGGTTTCGGTGAGTCAAATTATTTTAAAATCAAATCATTTAAAGTAATCTAAAGTATATTGGAGTAGAGCCTTCTGCAACTTTTAGTTAAAATAATTTAACAATAATAAATGAAAAGCGGGCAAAGCCACGGGTGAAAGCTAGTTCTTCCTAAATACTGAATTAAAATTCTGTTTAAATCACATATAGGAGTAAAAAAGCAATACCAGAGATCTATTACATCAAAATGCCTATAAGACAGATTGTCGACTAACTCAATTCACTATACTTCCACCGTATTAACACTTAGTAATATTCTTGTCCAATACAAAAAAACCTAATGAATTTTAGTTACTATAATTAAATCTAGATGGCAATTTTGACAAAAAATTAATTAGTCTGGTATCACAATGACTTCAAAAAGTTTTATTCACTCCGCAACCCTGACATCCGTCCACTGTGATTTACGTCAAATGTCAAACATCAATCTTCATCTTGAAAAATATAAGGCAATATATAAAAACAGTTTTTTGTATAACCATTAGTATGGATTTCATTAAATGTGAAAACATAAGTCCGAACTATCAAACTATATCTTTGATTTGAGTTCGAAGTTCTTCATTTTCTACTGGTATCGTGATGTTAATAAATTGTTGAAGGGCACCAGATTGGATTATGATGTAGAGGACGCAATACAAAAATAATGTTATGAATATTTTAAGAAAAAGAGAAAATAAAAATTAATCATATTATTTGTTTATTTTTTTTTTGTGTTCCCTCAAATATATTTTCTGTAAGTACATATATTTCCAGTTGTATCTCTATGATATTTTCTAATATATTTCTAGTACCTACGTAATCAGTACACAAAATAATGTATAATGCGGCCAAACTAAGAATTAGACTGAATTTCCGCCATATTGTGACGTGTAAATCATCATCATCATCATCATTACAGCCCTTCACAAGTCCACTGCTGAACATAGGCCTCCCCCAAAGAATGCCACAAAGCACGGTCCTGAGCCACCTGCATCCATCGACTTCCTGCATGTCTTACCAGGTCGTCACTCCATCTCGTGGGGGGACGCCCTACACTTCGCCTACCGGTACGAGGCTGCCACTCGAGAACCTTTCTTCCCCATCGGTTGTCGGTTCTTCGAGCTATATGGCCGGCCCACTGCCACTTCAGCTTACTAATCCGTTGGGCTATGTCGGTTACTCTGGTTCTACTGCGGATATCCTCATTCCTAAGTTTATCACACAGAGAAACTCCGAGCATAGCCCTCTCCATAGCTCGCTGAGCGACCTTGAGCTTTCTCATCCGGCCAGCAGTGAAGGACCACGTCTCAGTTCCGTAAGTCATCACTGGCAACACGCACTGGTTGTACAATTTCGTTTTAAGGTTTTGAGGTATGTCTGACAAGAAGATGTGTCGTAGCTTCCCGAACGCTGCCCAGCCGAGTTGAATCCGTCGATTGACCTCTCGGTCGAAGTTGGACTTACCTAGTCGGACTATTTGTCCCAGGTAAACATACTCGTCAACAACTTCGAGCTTAGTGTTCCCAACAACTACCGGCATAGGTGTGACATGGACATTAAACATGATCTTTGTTTTGTCCATGTTCATCTTAAGACCTATCCGTTGGGAAACACTATTGGGGTCATTGAGCATAGTGCTTAGGTCCTCCAGCGATTCTGCCATAAGGACTATATCGTCGGCAAATCGAAGGTGAGTGATGTACTCGCCATTGATGTTGATACCGTATCCTTTCCAGTCCAGAAGCTTGAAAACGTCTTCCAATGCAGCGGTGAAGAGTTTCGGGGATATGACGTCACCCTGTCTTACACCTCTCTGCAATTGGATAGGTTTCGTACTCTGGTTCTGTACTCGGATAACTCTGGTTCTGTACTCGGACGTGTAAATGGGAAATATTAATTTAAAATAACAAATCGTATTTTTCCCGCTAGCACGTCACAATATGGCGGAAATTCAGTTCTCTTAGTTCGGTCGCAATAAATAAACCTATATATAGGTTCTCATTATACGTATGTAACGCAAAATTTTTAGTTCCTGCAATTAGATTTAGAAGCAGATAGCGCCTCTCTGAAATATGAGCTGTTTTCTCTATGTCTGTAATATATAATGTACACTGCTATATTTCTACACTATTAAATTGAACACTGCACTTTTACCTTCATTTTGACTCATTTATTCGAAATCATCCAACACCTATAAAGCTTAGTGAATAGAACAATTACAGCGTAATACAATTATATTGTGGTGCCATCTATTGATGCTGTGAGCATATTAAACATTGATAACTTATATGAAACCTTTATGCTTATCTCTACATTTTTTCTAAAGACATGATAATGAGATGTCACAAATTGACGTAATTTTTAACACAGATGATTTTTGTTTCTGAGCACACAGTACCACAGAACACTAATACCCTTAGGCACAGTACTAAATGCTGTTTAATGACCTATTATGCCATGTCATTTATAAACTATATAAACTAATTAGACTTTTGCATTATAAAAAATAAATAATTACTCTGATATTCCTTGAAATTAATTTCAACAGACGATGAAATAATTTGGTACTTACAGGACAGAATGAGTCGTTCACGAACACTCCATCACTCCGTAAGCACCGAACAGCCCTCCTCTTTGTCCCTTCACCACACGGAGACCCTCCTAAAAGATAAAAGACACTTGTTCATTCTGAAAATGTATTTTGAGAAAAACGTAATTCAACTGTTATATTATGTCAATGTTGTTTAATAATAGCATATAAATGAAAATTATTGTTTAAAAGTAATTTGTGTTTTTACCCGACTGCCCCAGAAGGGGGTAATGTTTTACCAGTTTGTATGAATGTATGTCTAAACGGCTTGATATATTTTACGAGGGCGGCACTGAAAATTTCGGGAATCAAGGAAGTGACACAACATTACTATTTAAAAATGTATTTATTGCTTTTCGAAGTATTCTCCGCGAAATTTGACACATTTTTCCATACGATGGAACCAATCATTGAAGCAACCATTCCATTCGGAAGTTGAGGTCTCCAAAATGGCCGTTTTGTAGGCGTCCACAGCTTCTTCAGGTGATGAAAATCTCTGTCCACGAAATTTATTCTTTATTTTAGGGAAAGTATAGAAATCATTAGGGCTTAGGTCGGGGCTGTACGGCGGATGGTCTAATAATTCTGTTTTCTTGCTCTAAAAACTCTTTTGTTCTGTGTGCGGTGTGAGAACTCGCATTGTCGTGATGGAGAATGATGCGGCGGTTGCAGTTCTCTTTACGGAGTTCAGAAACGACCTGTGGCAAACAAATGCTAGCACACCATTCTGCATTAACCGTTCTTTGTCCCTCAAGAGGAATAGTCGTAACATGGCCGGTTTTGGAGACAAACGTGGCCACCATTTTTTTTGCAATACTCCGTGAACGAACAATTTTTGTTGGCTTTAACTCATTTTCGAACACCCAAACTCGTGACTGGTTTTTTGTTTCGGGTTCGTACGCGTATATCCAGGATTCCTCACCTGATACGATGTTGTATACAGCATTTGAGGATCCTGCGTGGAATCTTTCGAGAGTTCTGACGCACCAAGTAACGCGAGCCGCATTTTGCTCTTCACAGAGCGAATGCGGTATCCATCGGGAAAACAACTTTTTTACACCTAATTGTTCATGCAAGATTATTTGTATTTGACTCATGCCAATGTCTAAAGTTGCTTGAATTTCGCAGTATATCACATACCGATCTTCCTCAATCAGCTTACGCACAGCATCAACGTTTTCTTGGGTGACTGCAGTTTTTGGACGACCTTGACGGGGATCATCACTGAGCTTGACATTTCTACGTTGAAATTCAGCAAACCAGCGATAAATTGTGGTTTTGGATGGGGCTTCATCACCAAATGCAGAAATCATCCGGTCAACACACTGTTTTTGTGTTAAACCACTTCGAAAGCCATAATAAATCATCGCTCTTGAATTTTCTCGAGTCAATTCCATTTTCTTAACGACTAAACAAGTTTGACAAAACCTTGTGACAAGATCGAGAATCTTTTTTTAAATAAATAAATGGTATTCAATTTTAAAAAACCAAGGACTTTTCAATTAAAAAGCTTTTAATATGACAGGAACAGTGGAAATATTCCATTCCCGATACTTTTAGTGCAGCCTATGTAGGGTGGGAGTGACATAGGTTATATAATACGAGTATTTATATATTGCATCTGCAAATACAAAAAAAAGCAGTGGGAGTTTTTTTTACGCAGTTGGGTTTTTTAAGATTACTGTTACAACCATTTTGCTTGTTGATAAGAAATAATAATTGTTTCAAAATATATTTTGTATTTTATGAATGTTTACCTAGAGGCTGGCAGTCGTCCCAAGGCGCAACATGCCAGGAGTATGTATGTGGCGCGCAGGGCTCCGCTCCAACTAAGTGTGGGCACGGAGCGCCGCCATCCTCAGCAGGCCTCAGTACCACGCGAGTCCGGTCGCGACGACCTCCCCACTTTGTCTAAAATATACGTTTCAGTCTGGTTGTATTAGAGATATTGTTACATACGATGGCACTGGTGCCGGCGGGGATCGAACCAGAGTTCATGTGAAAGCCCTGAGCTACCATAGTTCTTAATGTGAATTTATATGCATATTAATAGTGTGGTATCATGATAATGGACTTTTAATTAATGAAGAAAATGTTTCGTATGGTGAATGTAGAGAACCGGAGACCCATGTCACTGGAAAAGAGGCATTCCATCTTAATCCTCACGGGTGACAACGCATCTGCATTTTGATTCGTAATCGAGGATAAATGTAGATGTCTATGGGTCACAGCAACCACTTACCATCAGGTGGACTGTGTGCTCGTTTGTCACCCTTAACCTATAAAAAAAAAACATTAAAGTTAACGGGTAAGATTTATGACAAGTTTGTCTTTGGCTTGCGCCTATTCCCAACATCGTTTTGTACCACAAATTTTTTGTAACGCAGACGTATTACTGCTACAATATAAAGGCAAGTAAAAATATATTTTTTTTATCGCCGATGAAAAATTAAAGTATATTAAGTAGAGATTATTTATAATAAAATAATTATTATAACTCTTCTCCGACCTCCTACCACGGCTTACGTGAGCTTATAGCACAGAGAAGATCGTCATAAGCAATGCACAAACTCCTACAATGTTACTGACAAAACAATAAACATCAGGTGTTTATTGTAAAAAAAAAAGGAAAATAATTAAAATAATGAGAGCATCGACGACTTTTGCTGCCACCAGATAGGTGCTACTTTGAAATGAAATGAAATATTTGACAGATCCCATAGTGAGGAAGTTAAATTGTTAGAAAAGTGAAAAAATCTCTCTGAAATATTAGTCATACTTTGTATTAATTTGATAAGAAATGGATAAACTAAACTACGGATAATCTATACAAATAAATAAAATTGAAGTGTCTGTTTGTATATATATATATATATATATATATATATATATATATATATATATATATATATATATATATATATGAAAAATGAAAGTATATAAGTATGGTACTTATAACAAAAACACGATTTTTTAAATTATTGTCTGTCTGTCTTTCTGTATGTCTGTCTGTTTATTCCGGCTAATCTCCGAAACGGCTGGACCAATTTTGACCGGACTTTCACTGGCAGATAGCTGATGTTATAAGAAGTAACTTAGGCTACTTTTATTTTAGTAAAAGAATAAGTGTTCCGCGCAAAAAAAATTAAAACCCATGAAATCCAATCGTAATAAATTAGACGCGGGTGAAGTCGCGGCGAACAGCTAGTTCTAAAATAATTAGTGTGTAAAAAATTTATGGAACACACCAATGAGGCATTTTTTGTGTATTTATATGTTACGGCTAAAAGCCGAAGTGCGGATACACCTAGGTTTAGCTGGCTATTTCTAGGTGCAGCCTATTGCGGTTGGTTAAACTTAGGTGTATCATATATAATTTATAAATTAGATAAATGTCTGCGGTTTTATCTGCACCTTAACCTACCGTCGCTGATATCACTTGATACGTATATCTGCGTTTTTACAAATTTAACAGCACACCTAAATTTAACCAACTATGCTGGCCGCACCTAGTTCAAGCCGGCTAGAATTAGGTGTATCTAACCGCACTTCGGTTTTTAGCCGTAACATATGTACATACTCTAGAAACCGAAAAGCCTTTTTAAAACGAAACTTTTCAATTCACTTAAGTCCCAACTAGCGACATCTGGTGAACATAAGATTATTAGGCCTCCTTTATAAAAGTAGAAAATCGTAAATAATGTGATTTGACTGCTCTGTGGCGCAGAGACATGAGTTGCAGCGCTAAAGGCCACGGTTTCGAATCTCGCACGAAACAAGTATTTGTATGGCCTACAAATAATTGTTCCAGGGCTGGATGTTTGTCCTTGTGAAATTTATGTATCTAAACTGCTCGCACGATACAGGAGAAAATCCTGGTGCGGAGGTAATGTTTTGAAAAAAAAAAGACAAAAAAATAGATAAAATGTGTATACCTGCTCGCAAGGGCTCCACTCGGACCAGGCGCTGACCACGCAGTCGGCGGGGCAAGGCGCCCGGCACGTCGCTTCTTTGGCAGGCGGTTGACCCGCTCCGCTCACCACGCATTCAGAGTCCTCCAGTTTCACGTTATTTGAGTCCTGGCAACTGTCACAATTTTACAATATTTCAATCGTTTCACACAACAAAAGTCCACTAGTGAACATACACCCCCATCATAGATTTCCTCATAACGTGGATATGCCGTTATCACGCTCGGCAGACGGGTCGACAACCGGACCTTTTTATTACTTTCAGTTGTTATTCGGAAGATGCTGCTGCCCACCTCTTGTTTCAGTTTCCATCTTTCGTGAGTGAGTAGATATTCTTACTTTGCCACAAAAGCAATTTACAATATTAGTTCAATCATAATATGAATATTATACATTTAAGCGCAGTAAGTATTTATTAGTCAGAACTATATTAGGATTATACGAGTACGTGGTAGAGCCATGCTGCAGCTATATTAGTAGTATAGATGTAGCATGAATAGGTCGGCTCGACCGGGGAAGGACCACGCTATCACAGAATACCAACGTAAAATAGCAGCTTAACACTGCTGTGCTTCTTATGGTGAGTGTAGAGAACCGGAGACCCTTTTTACTGGAAAACAGGCATTCCATCTTAGTCCTCACGGGGGACAACGCTTCTGCATTTTGATTCGCAAACAAGGATAAATATAGATGTCTATGGGCCACAGCAACCACTTACCATCAGGTGGACTGTGTGCTCGTTTGTCACCCTATCCTACAAATAAAAACAAAAGGAGATTAGTTTAAGTAATCGCATCGCAATTACGTAATATAAGCAGAATAGTTTTATTACGTGTCAAAGCTAAAGGCCCGCTGCAGCGTATATTATGTCTGCAGCACGAATGGCTCCGTCCGAAGGAGAAATATCACGCTCGCACAGAACACGAGAATGAAATAGCAGCATAATGCTGCTTGTCTTCAAATGGTGAGTGAAGAGAAGCGAAGACCTTTCACTGATTATGAGGCTTCGATTTTAGTCCTCAAGGGGGGTTCAATACCTGCATTTTGGCTTTTAATTGAGGATAGATGTAGTTCTCTATGAGATACAGCGTCCATTTACCATCAGGTGGACTGTGTACTCGTTTATCAATCTTAATTTTATAAAGAAATAACAATTCCCTTAAACAGTATGTTATGATTTCTTCACAATACGTCTTAGCATATATTGGTAATGGAGAGAAATACAAGAAGCATATCAAAAAGTAAAGCTTGCCAACTGGTGCGCAAAGCGATAGCAATATCTATAATATTCAGCTTTTGTTGTCGAAAATTGATAACGGAAGAACTGTACAAATATATGAAACGCTTATATTTTACAACAGCTCCATTTCTACTCACACGACAGTTCGGTTGATGATCGCCCTGCCGCAAAGAGCGTCTTGCGGCGTGCAAATGGACCACTCCCCGACGACCCACATCGGTTCCGGCACGAGGCAGGTGGCGCGCTGGAGTGTGGCGCCGCATTCCCTACCGCCGGCTGAGCCTTCTTCTATCACCTCCCTGGACAAGCATTTAGATATAGAGTATTTACTCTTAAAATATTTTTATATATTAAATTTAATAAATAAAAATGTTTAATTAATTAGTCTTCTTAGTGCTTTTCTTCATGAATTGGTGCAGTTTCAAAATAATATACCGAATTTGATGAGAGATAGCGTGACCTTGTTAAGTCGAGATTAAAGTCTAAACACTTCATTTTCATAGAAAAATTTCATTGAAATTAGTTCAGTAGTTTAGGAGTCCATCGTGGACAAACAACGTGACACGTAATTTTTATATATATATTTTTTATATATTTGCTATTATTCTATGAACACTAATAATATTTCCTCTCGTCACGCACAACCATATCTTACATTTGACAATTTTTGGAGGAGGTAATAATTTCTGCTACATATCGCCCATCTCCTGGTTTGTTTCTCTCTGTCGTCTCTGTCGACACTCACGTGATGATATGGGATAGTGGATATTCTTACACCGTCAAACATGTTTTTAAATAAATGTAATTGCATTTATTTAAAAACACGTTTGACTGTGTGAAACTGGTGTGGAATCTGAAGGCGGCGCGTGAGTCGACACTGCTACTACACAGTCAAAAATTTCTTTAAACTTAAATAATGTGATTGCAATGAACTGGTACCCCGTAGTGGCAGTGTAAGAATATCCACTACCCTATATCGTCCCGTGGCTGTCTTAAGAGGCGACAGAGGGAAAATGAAATAGGTGATTGGCAGCAGCATCTTCCTGACTCAAAATAATATAAAACTGTGGTTGCTAAATCATCAGCCAAGCGAAATAACTATGGAAAAATCACTCATTATAAGGCAATCTATGGGATATAGATAATGGTCATGGACTGGCACTAAACGGTTAAACTTGTCTGTAATGATTTTTTATATTTACGCGAACACTACACATTGAGTAAAACTATTTTTTACGGATTTTATCGCGTTTACTTTACTATTTTAATACCCGACGTTTTGGGTGCTTTACAGCAACCCATGGTCACGGGAGGACTGAGATGTTTGACGTCCCGATGTCACAGTTAGCTCGGCTACCTTCAGTTCTTTAATATTAATTTTGGGTTCGATTTACGCAGAATGTACTTACAGTATTTTGAAGTCTTGCAGTGGTATGCTTGTTAGTTTTGTTAATTATGGGATCCCAAGCAAATGGCAGCACAAATCCATCTTCTCTATTGAAATTAGGATGTTTTTTAATTTCAATATCCTATCGTATCATCCTTGGTAGGAATCGGTGTTCTTTTGCGAGGATTTGTGGTCTATCAAATCTGATGTAATGGCGGGGAAGATCTTGAACACGTTCACAGACTGTAGACTTGTCTGTAAGTTAAATGTAGCAGTGACCTGGTGCGGAATCTGAAGGCGGCGCGCGAGCCGGGCTCCGCGGAGCAGGCGGCCCACGGCGCCCAGGGCCCGGCGGCGCAGTCGCGCGCGCACCGCACGCTGCACGCGCCGCGCACCAGCGCCGGGAACTCCTCGTCGTACGCGAACCCATCCGTCGACGCAACGCGCACGCGCCGCGGACCTGCAATGTGCCCATTCAATTAACATGTACTATGTTTTTATAGAATAAATGTGACATGCGAGCACACAGCCCACCTGATGGTAAGTGGATGCTGTGCTTATAAACATCTACATTTATTCTCGATTAAAAATCGTGATATAGATGCGCTGTCACCCCAGAGGACGAAGATGTAATGCCTCGTTTCCACCAAAAAGGATCTTTGGTTTTTAGAATAAGGGTGACAAATGTACACACAGTCCATCTGATGGTAAGTAGATGCTGTGGCCCATAGACATATTTACTTGATTAAGAATCAAAATATAGATGCGCCATCACACCAGTGGACTATGATGGAATGCCTTATTTCCAGAAAAAGAGTCTCCTTTTCTTTATACTCATCATATGAAAAACGGCAGCAATAAGCTTCTATTTTTGTGGTATTCTGTAAACGCGTTTTCAACCCCGGTCGAGGAACCCATTCATCCTACAACCATAATGTAGCTTTTAATTTTTAATTCTACATTTTGACAGTGTTTTTGCAGTTTACATCCGCTCTCAGATATTAGAGTCTACTTTTACTATGTGAGAGGGATTTTTTTTCTACTAAAGAGTCTGGGTCCTCACCACTCTCTTAATAACGAGCTAACATTCCAGACAGTATGTGGATATTGCAGCCTATGGACGCCTGTAGCCGATTAGCAAACTCACAGATTCTTTGTTTACAACTGAAACCTACGATGGAAATCCTTACAGCCTAATACTGGCTCTTAACAACAAAACAGCACTGCTGTTGGTCAGCAAAGACCAGACGAAATCACAGTCATGAAGCTATCAACCAACTAATAATAATGGATTAAAAGGCATTCCATTTTAGTCCCATGTTGTGACTACTAATTTATAGAAGTCATTTATATCGGAGTAGATTGCAGGTGTCTATGGGCTACAATAACCACTTACCAGCAAGATGACTATTGGCTTATTTGAGCATTTGCGGTCGACAAATTTCTGAAATCGATATTTCACCATCCGTTACATTTCCCTAGGTTAGGAACATTCGAGGAAAGGGTTCCTCCTAAAAGGCTGACAACGCATTAACAAATTTGTTTGGTGTTGCGGATGTTAATTGGCGGCGGCGGTCGCTCTGCCTTTTTCGCTTCGTAGAAAGTGGATTTTGAATCATCGTCGAATATCGCTGATGAAAGAATTCTGATAAAGTATCAACGTATAACATATACTTACCAGTTAGAGGATGATATTTTTTACAAACATCCATAGGCACATCTCGACCTTTGACCATACAGCGTGCAGCTCTTAATGTACGACCTTCTCCGCACTCCATTCTAAAATGAGAAAGATTTATAGTGGAATTTGATTTTAATTCTAGCAATACTAGTATAACTTTTCTAACGTTCCCGTTAACTGCTACTGATCAACCTTTAACATTACTAATTGTGCTAGGGACTTTCTATGTCTGTCCGTCCCTTAACCATTCGACTACTATAACTTATGTTTTCTTTATTCATTAACTGATTATTAATATTAAAGACTAAATTTGCTAAGGAAAAAAAAGTATTAAAAACTTACCCTGGAGATAAAATACAATCTGAATCTGCCGGCAGTAATTCCAAAGAAACACTCTTGCAAACACAGTTGGGAACGTCTGGATCAGAGGCGTCTAGGTACCTGAAAATAGTTGTTCAGTAAATTGCCTACGCTTATCTATTAGACGATGATACAAAAACAGTTCCGTTTGCAAATTAATGTTTAGAATTGCAGTTTTCTTAGACATATTACTAGATGGTGAGTCGCAAAATTCAAATTATTTATTCAATCTAGTTATAGCTTCAGTTTCAGTTTTTAACTTTATAACTTGCATCACCGGTTTCATAGGAAATTTCACACCGATTCAAAAAGTGAGAACCCTACAGAAAAGAATCCGCAAGAAAGTTCCGCGTCAGTGATATTTTCTGTTGTTTTATTTAACTAAAAAAATATATAATTCTGTTACATATATAACCATCATCATCATCACCATTACAGCCTATCAAAGTCCACTGCTGAATATAGGGCTCTCCCTTAGTTTTTCTACTATAGGAGTGATATTTGTTATACCACGCTTGGCATGTGGATTGGTAAACGCAGTTTTTTTATTATTTTAAGTTGTTATCTTCTATGCTCCACACCTTATATTGTAGTTTCCCTCAGACAGCTCTTGCCACCCACGAGTTGACATGGGATAGTTGATTTTCTTACGTCCTGTTGTTATCTTTTATTTATTTCTTTCGCCAAGCAGCAGCCACTTTTCTGTTTCAGTTTGCATTGTAACTGAGATAATCTAGAATTATCACAGCCTGTGACGTATTTCATTTTAGTCCTTAAGTGCGACAACAAATCTTTGTTTGAAGTTGATTACAGGCAACCACGGCCTGCAGTTACCATTTACCATCAGATAGTTTATTAGTTTTATTTTCACATAAATGTTATATATTTTGTTTTAGGGTTAACACAAAAGTAAAAGTAAAGTAACGTTGCAGCCTATTTACGTCCCGCTGCTCCTCCTCTCATTTCTGAAAGAATTTTGGGGCAAGGAATTCACAGTCCACAGCACTGCCCTAATGCGTGTTGGCGAACTTCACATGTATTCGAAATATTTTTTTCTTATTTCTCCAACATGCATTTCCTCACGATGTTTTCCTTCACCGCCGAGCACGTGGTAAATCAGCACTTAAAATTGCAATTAACAATTTCATTGGTGCCGGCGGGGATCGAACATGGGTTGCTCGAGTACTGTGAAGCTTACAGCGAGCGCTAACCATCTGAGCTACCACGGCTAGTGTAGTGTAGTGTAGTGTAGGCTAGTGTGAGTTAACACAAATACTTACAGAAATTTACGGGTACCAAGTTTGTAAAGGTTTCAAGGACAGGAAAAACTTGAAAACATTGTTACTTTTGTTTTCTTTTATACAATATTTACAAAAATCATTTAATCAAATCGGAGAAACACGTTCTTTGCTTTGAGACCGTTCTCTCCGCTCATGCCGAAATGTTCCTGTACCAAAACATCAACTAGTGACGTATCCTACGCGTACACTTACCGGTATTATGTTATATTTATAAAAATACACTTACAGAATAACAGCGTAAAATAGCAACTCAATGCTGGTGTGTTGTGTATGGTGAGTGTAGAGAATCGGTGACCTTTTTACTGGTAACCTCCTGCCTCCAGGCCTCCTGATGCCTAAGATGCAGATGTGTTGGCACTTTGGTGATAGATGGATATACCTTGGAGGATAGATGAAGATGTCATGGGCCACAGTACTCACTTACCATTAGGTGGACTATGTGCTCGTTCGTCACCCTTATTCTATACATAAAAAAACAACGAAATATGTACTTACTTCAATGGATCCGCACAGATAATATCGCAGGTGAGTGGCTCGATACGGTCACACGTAACAGTACAAGCGGCTACACTAGGCGGCACAAGTTGACCGGCACACGCGCCAGCTTCCACACGGTGAGAGTCCGAACCACACCAGATGCCTAAAATATGATATTAACTTTAATTCTAATTGTATGAGATCAATAAGAATATACGCTATATGTGCGGTAAGAATAAAAGAGGTATATTTCTAACACACATAACCATAGATGCGTATATACTTTAAGTACCAATTTATAATTTTCCTCTGCTGGACACGAGTCTTTCCCACTGTAGAAAGGTTTTTCCGTAATCGCCAAGCTTGCGATCACATTATCAGATGTCTGTTCTCTTTCACCGGTGAGGGTATTTTACATTTAGCATACGAGATGGTTATGACGCGATCTATTGTAGGATCGTACTGGTGTTTCCCACAGTCGTTTTATTCGTGATAGAGCCATGCTGCAGCTATATTATGGTTGTAGCAAGAATTATATGAAATAGTAGCGTAAAATAATAGCTTAATGCTGTGTTTCGCACGGTGAGTGTAAGGAACCGGAGACCCTTTCGACTGGAAACAAGGCATTCCATCTTAATCCGCCGGGGTGACAACGCATCTGCATTTTAATTCTTAATCGAGGATAGATATAGATTTCTAGATATAGATATAGATTTTTATTTGATGACGTGAGTGGGGAATAGTCTCTAGAATTATAAGTCTAGTCTAGAAAGTTATGTGGGCTTTTGCGAAAGTTATAACACCTGACGGATTGATTGCTTTGATATTAAAATTTCATTTCAACGTATTTTGACAAAAATATATTTCAAAAATGCAAACAAACCAACCGGGAATGTAATTTTTTTCAATTTTCCTTTCCGAATGGGGTGTTTATTACTTATAAGATAGAAAAGATATGTAAAGTAGTTTTTACTGAACACTATTAAAGAAAGTCATTGTCCAGCCGTGGGACGTATGAAGTGCGTTAGTTTATTTTTGTTTACTTTAGCATTAAATCTTCAGAAAATATTCAATCATAAACATTGCCCGTTGCAACGGCGCCTAATTTTACCTGTGTTTTTCCTCAATATAAATTAAGTCTGTATGACTAACTTACTTCTAACTCTATATCCGAGTCCGCATCGCTGTCCTGGGGGCAAGCGGCACGTGCTCCACTCGCCCGCGATCCACGCCGCGTCCCGCGAGCGGCACGACGGCGGCACGGGACAGTCCCGGGTTTCCTGCACTGGTCCACAGTTCGGACCGCCATGGACCGTGCGGACGCGGACTTGCTTGCCTGGTTCTAAAAGATTTTTAGTCTCATAAAATGTTTTAATTGATCTTATCGCGCTTAGTTTTAGTTTACAATTTCTTACGAATTCTTCTTCATAATAAATCAAAAGGGTTTGGTAACAACGTGATCAGGATGACAAATATGTTGGTACTGCCTGTTCGAAACCTAAGCAAATAATATCATATGTACTGAAATCAATTGCCCCATCGATACCTATAACATGCCCGTGTATCTGTCGACCATACCTGGTCATTTGCCAAGTATTTACGATTCGCTATTAAATTAAAAAGTACATAAACGTTGTTTTTGGTTTTAACATTTGATCACCATATAGATCAAAGACAAGGGTATAATGTGGCATCATAAGCGAATTTTACTGAATACAAATTTCGATTTTTTTTATATAGGAGAGGGAGCAAACAAGCATACGGCTCACCTGATGGTAAGTGACTACCGCCGTGAACAACTGCAACACCAGGGGAATTGCAGGTGCGTTGCAAATCGATTGTTTTAGCCTGTTTTTTTTTACCGCATAAAAGGAGATAGGTTTTAAAAAATTTGTAGTGTGGAAAAAATGTATTGAGAGGTGTGATTATTTAATCTCTTTTGATAGAATGTTGTATTGTTATGTAAATGAAATAATACCTTTTTATATAATGGTTTAATTTCTTATTCTTTACGCTTTGTGTACAAAAAACCGGAAAAATTACGTCACTCAATTTTGAAATAAGATTGATGATATCTTTAAAAATAGAAATGCACTGATTCATTTACAATTCAATAGTTTAATTCATAACCATTCGATAGGTATAAGTGTTATATACAGCAGGAATACAAAATTAAAAAGTAATCATTGTTTACATTAGCGCCTGCCAATAATGGGCGACCTGCCATACGGGCTCTGTTTTTTGGCGCGAAAAAAAACCAATTGCCGTACGCATGAGGGGTTGGGATACAATCACAACGTGTCATTGCTCCTGTTAATGCTCGTGCACTACTATTTGTTTGTATACTTGATGCCTAATAACATACTTTACGTTACTGAAAAGGAAATGTTTAAAATAACTTGAAAAATAAGATTATACTTGAGATTTGTAAACATTTTGTGTTAATGTTATTGTTGTGAATAATTTTATTCAAAAGTAATTAAATATCATAAAAAAAATTGTCATGGACTTAAAAATAAATACATACCACATGTATTAGGGCAAGGTGACCAAGGCATCCAAGCTTCGACTCTGCATCCCCTTCGACATCTTAATGTACAAGCGCGACGAGATGGAGGACGACGCAGTGGTGAACACCTGTAAGAAATGAAAAATTAAAGTTACAGTCTATATACGTCCCAATGTCGGGCACAGGCCTTCCACCACTATAGAGAGAGTTGTGGGGCAATTAGCACTTCACGCTACTTCAATGCATGTTAGCAGACTTCGCATATACTCGAAGTACTTTATTCCTTAAAATGGATGGTCCTGGCGATGTTTGATTTTCACCACCGAGCATGAGGTTAATCACTACTTATAATTGTTTAATTGAATTTTCAATTTACAATATCATTGACCCGGGTTACTCGCGTACTGTGAATTTTACGGTTAGTGCAGTCCCTGTCAGCTCAAGAAGCCATTCATTTCAAGAATCTCAGGTTCTTGAAATGAAAATGAAATGGAATGGATTATAAAAGTTAGTATAAACTACTATGTTATGTAGAAATTATAATATAGTTAGTAAGCTTTAAGATTATTTCATCGAAAACTAATTATGTCATTTTAAACTAACCACGTGGAAGTTAACTGACTCCTAAATACAGGTTTATCTTTTGGGGGTTTTGATCGCTGCAAATGCTGTACATATTATAATATAATTATTGATAAAGATTATTATTATTTGGAGATGTTTTGATATTATTTTCGTCTGGTTGAGAAACCTGTAAATACATAATTCTGACGCAGAAACGATAAATGTTGGAGCACACATATCAAGGAGTTTTGGTTTTGGAAGTGAAAAATATCCAGACCGGCGACTTGGAACAGCGTCAGTGGTGCGAGGCGTCTGACACCTGCCAAGCTTGATAACTACGAAAAATCCTCCCTATTAGTCTACTATTAAATATTAAGTAACTACCTAATTGATGGAACCAAAAACCAAATTCTTATCACCCCCTGTATACGCGAAGCAGGAACAACCGGTTTTTGACGCGGCGAAGTGGGCGGTGACAAGACTCATGCCCAAAGAGAATATAACTGACGCCTTTTTAGTGCACTATTAGGTAATTTTGTATTGCTTATTTACTGTCTGTTGACTGTGCCAATTGCTGTTTAGTAGTTTTGCGTTATACATATTTTGTATTTTAAGGTGTAGCTTATCTGTCAAATTTTAATTTTGGCGGCTTGTGATATGTACACGTAAAGTTTTTGTTAAGCTTATGTTGTACTTTGTATTATCTATAATTTGTTAAATAAAAAAAAAACGGGAGTGGCCCATATCTGATGAAGAAGAAGAAGATACTTACAAAGCATCACGAACCACATCAGCGTTGTTCTGGACACACATGACATTTCTGGTAATTTGACCTTCTTCTATACATGGTTCTTCTTCGTCGCTCTCGTTATAAGGCTCTCCTTCCTGAAATAGATACATTTCATGTAACAGAATTTTAGAAATTATATGTCACCTTATTCAATTTTTTTTTAAATTTTTTTTTGAGAAATTGACGGTTGAAAGTACCCAGTCCATCGACGGGCAGTAGCGTAAAGCAATTGAAACTCTTGATACTGCAATCAACAATTTGTAGCCAAGCGTGACAATTAAGGTAAATTCTCCCTGCAAAGAAGAGTCTAGACCTAAACTAAACCCTATGTCTAGAAGTGGACTTTTATGGACTTAGAGTTTTCTATAGGCTGATGATAATGAACAACTATGGCAAATATTAGGTAGTCTATGGAGGTTCTTTCTCATGTTGTGTTGTGTTGTGTCTTGTGGGTTCAGTCCTACATTTAGATGTGAACTTTAAAAAGGCTGTAACGACCATCACTAATTCTGTAACAAAGCTACGACTTTCAAAAAGTACAGGTACTGGTATGTGTTTTGGTACCGGTCTGTGTTGACAGTTGATTAGGAACAGCAATACCATTGCGAAAGTACCTCTTACATATTTATGTGGTCAGAAAGACTATGAAGCATATTCTGCGGTTACAGTTCTTTCTGCCTTTATTTAGAAGTGTATTTTAGAAAGGATTATAAATAAAAAACACGAAAACGCACCTGCAAGTCCGTGTAATTGGTGATAGGCATGTAGTCCTGATGACGTCGTTCACAAGGTCCCCACGGCGTTGCGAGCCAGGAGTATGTGGCACACGCGTGGTTGTTGCAAGTCTCGTTTTGGATAAGTTGGTCTTGCGATGGGCACGGCCATCCGTCTGTAACATAATTATGAATTATTTATACATCCACCTTAAAAATAGGAAGGATTTCACTTTTTTAAAACTTCATACAAATATACTGGGTTATATTGCAATAACCGGCCAAATTTGCAGAGAAGGTTCAGAATAAGTAATATAGGCAAATGGTTTAGAAAAATTAACTAAAAAATCTCAAATATTCTGTCCTTTTTATCTTTTAAATTCAAAATGCGTGGTAATGCATTATTTTAACTGATATTACCGCGCACGCACACATTCGTAAGGGCCGATCGGTAGGCAAAAACGTTGTTGCCCATAAATCACATTCAATTTAGGATGATTTCAAATAAATGTAGAAGACTTTATTAATCATATTTTCAAAAACTGCAATAACGTTATATCATTATTTATATGTTTGATTTAGCTACTCTTTGAAAAATAACCCTGTATTTCTTTTGAGTCAGGAAGTTGATGATGCAGGCTATGGACCGTGTTTTGTGGCATTCCTTGGGTGAGACCTATGTTCAGCAGTCGACTTGTGAATGGCTGTAATAATAATAATAACTCTTTGAAGTAGCAGTATTCACGAATGACACCTTATAGGGTATACCCTATCACGCAACCACTGAGTGTTGTGTCTGAAAGCTAAGCAAGGAGCGGTATAGAGTAACTAGATGAACCAGGCCCACGAACAGTGTTGGTTACACGGACACGAGATATTTTTGAAAACAACAGAAGGATTTTATACTTGGATTTTCTTCGTGGAGGCGTTTTACATACATATATTACACAGGGGCAAACATTCAGACCTAGAACAATCATTTGTTGGTTATACAAACCGTTCCGTGCGTCCCCACTCCCCAACCCGCGGCTCTAAAGCACCACAACCATTGCCGTCCCATCGGACTATGAGAGTGAGAGAATAGAGAGTGCACCTGAGCTTGCTCACACACTAACTTGTGCACTATCCTGCCCTACGCAGATTCTAGTCTCAGTTGGGACTGGCCGCTATGATCAAAATTCGGTCTGAGAACATTATTAATGTAAAACATCTATATACTCTTCGTTGCTTCTCTGTATGAATTGTGTACTATGTGTGTCTTTTTATATTTCTCTATATTTTTTTATTGGTGTTCATTAATTATAAATTCTTCCATCAACTATGATGTTTCATATTTGCCGGACGTCTCGTGACAGCCACCTTTTTATTTTTATTACTGATTTACACTTATGATTTGGTGACTTACTCGGTGAAGCATGGGCGATAATCTGTCTGGTTCGGGTTCTAGTGGGACGTGGGCGAGTGGGCACCGCACAAGGAGCGGTGCAGGGCGACCAGGCGGACCAGGCCGACACCACGCAGTCGCCCGGGCACGCGATGCGGCACCGCTCGCTGCGAGGCGGCGTGCTACTGCCGCTGCACCAAGCTCGTTGCGCTTCTTTCTGCGATTGTAGTTCGTTTAAAAAAAAGAATTATTATTATTACAAAACAATAGTTGGAGTAATTTGACATAGTAAAATGGAAGATTGGCACTGCAATACCAGACACGCACACATACCCACGTACGCATGTCTTTGATTCCGTTCTTTAAAAATGATACCTCTGTCTTTTACTCCTCTACTAAGATCTCTACTCGTACTATGCAACAAACTTTCAATCAATCTTTGGCGATGGTTTCCTGTTTAGATAGATAAGGCCATCATGGGCGGAGGTTCTCAATTCTGTTGCTGTAATTCTACCCAATGTTTCACTCTAAAATCACATCTTGTACTCGTCTTTTCTTTAAAACCTTATTTGGACTCTTCCTTCTTCTTTACATTATATCAAGATTTCTTATTCCCTGTTTTAGTAAATGCTATACAAATGGTGGGTTAAAAGCAGCAAAAAATTAAAAATAGCTTTAAAAAAAGGTGAATTTTAATCTTACGCCATCGTGTCCAACGCATCTGAGTTCCCGCATGCGTCTGCCCGGGCCACATGTCGTGTGTGGTTGGCTCAATACACAAGGTCCCCAGGGTAGAGCCTTCCACGAAGCACAGCGTGGCATTGTGCACGTACGTTTTTCTTCTAGAGGAGGGCAGTTTGCACCACCGCCGGACTCCGCTGACGTCACACGGCGACGACGTACGCTGTATCCTGAGTTTGATGGAAGGTAATTTTTAATATGCTAGTTTAATTTTTTTAAATCGGAGTATAACCGCAATGCATAAACTGTTGTTATAGGCATACCAGTAGCAGTAAGTTCTTGGACAGGGTAAAGTGGACATCCGTCGATTGGTTGACACGCGCCCCATTCGCCCCACTCGCCGACTTCACAGTCACGTGGACACGGCACCTTTTTAACATAATCCAAAAGATTTCACATAGGTAGGTATTTATAAATTCGATAAAATGGAATTTATATACATAACATGGTGATTCTGATGGTAGATCTTTCTACACTGATTCGTCAAGGGATTGCATGTATGCTATAAAAAAGAGTGGAACGTTTGGCTCCATGAAGCAAATACCACTTGCTTGCTTGTTTTAGGATTAAATATCCATCTGCAAGTTTCAAATATAGCAAAATACTTAACGTTTTAGTACATACCAGACAATACCATCAAGTGTTTATTTAATTCCGTTTACTTTTTATCAGATGGATATGTCTAGAAATGCCTAATAGTTTTTTTTTAAATAGATGGTAATTTTTATCAGATGGATATATTTAGAAATGTCTAATCGTTTTTTTAAATAGATGGTAATTTTTTTATCAGATGGATATGTCTAGAAATGCCTAATAGTTTTTTTTTTAAAGAGATAGTAATTTTTTATCAGATGGATATGTTTAGAAATACCTAATTGTTTTTGTAGAACTAGAGATATAATAATTTTATCAGATGGAAGTTTTTTTTTAGAGATAAATGGTCATTTGTTATGTATAATAATCAAATTGGCGTCATGCGTAAAGGTGTAAAACACTTGGTACCTATTATATAGATAGACAGTTCGCGTAGCGGCTGCGAGACGTCCATGTCCAAGTTCAGGCGCTATTTACGATCTCTTAAGGTATGGTAGGTAATGAAGTGATAAACACACCTCACAAGGCTGCACAAGTGTAGGCATAGGCGCGTGCGCACATTGAGCGGGATGCAACGCCCTCCCGTCAGCGCGGACGCAGGTGACGTCACGTCGCTGCACGCCACCACCGCAACTCGCTTCCGGTCCCGCCTTGTCCAGCTCGTCGGCTTCGTCGTCGTCGTCGTCGTACAATGCGTCACTGTCATCCGCGTCATCGTCGTCGTCGTCCGCTAGAAGTTAGATGTAGTCTTTTTGTAAGATCTTTTTAGTTTATACCGGACTTCAACAGGAAGAAGTTCTTCAATCCGTATGAATACTTTTTTGCAATATTTGCTTGATCCCAATTTCTCAGTGGTCCCATATAAACTTCAACCAAATCTAACAGTAATTAAAAATTGGGTTTTTATTACATTTTTAACTACGTAATTATCTATACAAATAAATAAAATTGAAGTGTCTGTTTGTAAAGTCCAAATAACAGCTTTTTACTAAATGCATATGAAAATATATACGGTACTTATAACAAAAATACATTTTTAAAATTTTTGTCTGTCTGTCTGTCTGTCTGTTTGTTCCGGCTAATCTCAGAAACGGCTGGATCGATTTCGACGGTACTTTCACCGGCAGATAGCTGATGTTATAAGGAGTGACTTAGGTTACTTATATTTTAGAAAAAGAGTTAGGGTTCCGCGCAACATAACTAAAACCCTACACTACACGCGGGCGGAGTCGAATAGCTAGTTAAAAATAAAATAAAATATCACTTAGCTTTTATATTTGATTTTGGCTTATGCATACATGTATGAATTTAGCTCTCCGTGGTAGTGGTGGGGCAGGAAAATCCACCACCTTATATAATCCTTTGGGTGTCGTAATAGGTGATAGAGGGAAATTAAACAGGAGATAAGAAACAGCTTCTTTATGATAATTCAAAATAATAAAAAAAACTGCGGTAGCCAACCTGCCTGCCTGAAAAGTGTGGGAACTATGCAGTTTTCCCCCTATGTTAAGTAGTGGACTTTTGACAGACTGTAATTAACAAATCAATATGAATTCCAATTTTAATAAGATTCTTTATATTAGGATAACAGCATCTTGTACCACATGACACTTACAAGGTGCTGGTGTAGTTGGCTGAGAAAGGGCAACTCGACAGCGACCCCAAGGTCCAGGTGTCCAGTGTGCGCTGGCTTCCAATGCAGCTGGACGCACTTCCTCAACAACATCGCACTCTTTGCCTCCACCTGCACATATAAAGTGTCATTAAAAACAATCGAAGGAATTGTTAAGTATAAAGAAGGAAAGGTTAAGAATAAGTAATAAAAGCGAATGGTGAAGAAAAATTATTAATTAAAAAATCTCAAACATTCTGTCTTTTTTATTTTTGTCATTCATAAATATCTTACGCCTACTATTTTACTACGCACGAACACATTCATAACGGTCTCTCGGTTGGCTAAAAGGTTGTGAATTGAAACGCACACAGAGGAGTGCGCGTACATGTATTTGTTGCTTGTAAATCACTTTCAATTTGGGACAATTTCAAATAAAAATAGAAGCCTTATTTACTCGTATTTTCGAAAACTGCAATAACAGTAAATCATTATTTATATATTTAAAATTATGTATAAAATTTGGGTACTCTTTGAAAATAAACCCTGTATATTTATTGTTAAGTATAATATCATAATTTATTAAACATTAGTAATATATAGTTTATAGGATAAATAGGTAACAGTTAGGTAGGTACCTATTTCTGCGGCCAAACAGCATTTTACCTACAGCTGTGTTCTAGTTTGAAAGAAATAGAGACCCAGTTATAATTAAGGGCACTGAGACATCATCTTATTACTTGCAGATCTTAGTACTTGGCGACAACGCACCTGTAGCTTTCTTTATTTGAAGTTGGTTGCAGATATTTATATATCACAGTATTAGCCACTTACCATTAGGTAGGTGGATAAGCTAGCTCTAATATTAAAAACAATATACACAGTTTTGATATACCTTGAGCTAATCGCCGTAATCTCCTAGTGCGAACTAACGCGCCATCCGAGCGTGGTCGCCATGGTAACCATTCAGCCAGGGAACAGTCTTCACGCATCACACACACCCGAGTTGTGCCAACGTGAGAAATAGCCGCTCCACAGTACCTAGTAAAAAGTAATATCATCAGTTACAATACGTAAGGTTTTGACAACCACGTGCTTAAAAGGTTAGAACTGTCTGTCTTGGTAATACGTTGGAAGTCTCGTGTTTAGAGGTAATATCACTTCAGTTGTTTTTAATAGTGAATATCACTTCAGTTGTTTGGACCCGCAGAAAAAAATATTGAGGTAAGAGTGACAAAGCAAACTTTATGCTGCAGAACGTTCTAGGGGAACGACAACGTTTGAACAAGCCTAAGGGTGAAAACAGTAATTAAAAAACTGACTGCATCAAAACATTTACTAAAAATCATAAAAGTATCATATAACTATTTTCTGGTAATTAAAAATTTAATAAAAAATAACTCACATAGCCTCAACGAATTGTCCATCCTTCCCTCGGCATTGGACTTGACGGCGTTGTAGTCCAAGGCGAGGTGTATGTACCAAAGAATCTTCTTCGACACGTGTATTGTATCTGTATGATGTTAAAACATTAAAATAACAGCCTATATATGCTGGTATTACAGACCGAGTTCACAGGTCTTTTCTCATTTTAACCGACTTCAAAAAGGAGGCGGTACTAAATTCGACTGTACTTTTTTATGTGTGCTACCTCCTAACTTTTTTCTAGGTGAAGGAAACGATTTTGATGATTCTTTTTATTTGAAAGCTTCTCATGTGGTCCCATATAAATTTGATCAAAATCTGACTAGGAGTTTTTGAGATATCCTTAATAATTTATATTGAGGTCAGTTCTACAAAATTTTTGTTAAAGAGTCTGCTACGTTAACTCAATACGTGTCGCCTGACTTCAAATGTCAACGTTAATTTCTCAGACTGCAGGTGTCCTCACGATTTTTTCCTTTATTACCGAGATCGAGGTAAATCAGTACTAAAAATAGTGACGGCCGCCGACGAGACTTCGAATTGGTCATCTATCCATACATCCTTTACAGCCTATTAAAGTCCACTACTGAACAAGGCCTCTCGCACAGATTGCACAGGGGGAATCTGCCATAGTTGCCACGCTTGGCAGGCGGGTTAGCAACCGCATTTTCGTTTAAATTATCTTGAGTTGTTTTCAAGAAGATGCTATTGGCCATCTCCTGGTTTGTTTCCCTCTGTCGCCTCTTACGATACCCACGGAACGATATGAGATAGTGGATATTCATACACCAAGCACTACACGGTCGTAACTTTATTTTTACTTTGTTATTTACAACTTTTATCTTCTTTCTTACTTATTTATATATTTTTAGTTTTACACTATTGATACGTAAATAGTTCGATGGTGCGGACGCGCACCTACTACTAGTTAGCGGTTATTAGTAAAGTTAATAGACAGCTAAGTCGACAGTATTTTGTTTAAAAAAAATAGAAATAATAAAACTTTATCAATTAAATAATCGTACCTCTCAATCGAGCGATCGTGTTCTCCTTTCCAATCAGTCGCACATTCCGTCCATCGGCCCACGTACACAGAGTATTCTGCCTCGTTAATGTCCACTCCTGCAATGAATAAAGAACGTCTGTGTAATGTTATCAACAGGGAAAATGCTCATAGTTAGTGCTCACTGTAGCTCATGGATACTAACGTAGATCTCCACAGTAATTAAGATGCACGATAAGTCGTAATGTCCTTGTACTTATAGTAACTTGACTAGGCAGGTCCTGGCCTACCTCCGATGACATGCAATTACTGTTTTAATTCTCGAGGAAAGAATTTGTCCTGCACTGTACATAAATTGCGCGTGGACAAATACCTAAATCTAAAACAGATATTAGCAAATACTGCTTGCGAACGGGGATCGAATCACTTTCCACAGCATTGCACACAAATGCTTGGCCACTGCGTTTCCAAGCAATCAATTTCGTGGACAACTAGAGATATTTAAAGTAAAAACAAAGTCTAATCTTTGTCTTATGAGAAGAAGCGGCAAATCACAAGTAGTCTATTTTTCTAACAACAGTTATAATTTTATATTAAAAAATATTTACATGAGTAAGAAAGTCTAAACAACCTAATTATGTCTATGCATATTTATCTTAATCTTATTTATAACTAGTTGTTGCCCGCGACTTCGCCCGCGTGGATTTATTACGATTGAATTTCATGGGATTAATTTTTCTTTAATGCGGAACCCTAATTTGTTTTCATTTTAACATAAGCTATCTGCCAGTGAAAGTTCCGTCAAAATCGGTCCAGGTGTTTCGGAGTTTAGCCGGAAGAAACAGACAGACAGACAGACAAAAAATTTAAAAATTGATTTTTTTTGTTATATGTTCCGTATATAATTTAATATGTATTTAGTAAAAAGCTGTTATTTTGACATTACAAACAAACACTTCAATTTTATTTATTTGTATAGATATATTTCTTTATAAGAATACTTTTAACATGCACTTATGCAAAGGCAAACTAGTAATATTACAAAGAATTTTGCTATTGAATAGTTTCACATCTATCCAAAAACAAGACGCTAGCATTATAAAACCTGTGCTTAGGATCAGAATGTTTGGATTTATTGTGCGTATCAAAATCACTCACTGCCAAACGTATTAAAAATTTCCTTACGTGAATAATATTTACGCTCTATTAGCCTTAGAGAATGAAGTTGAACATAAACATTTTTAGTTAGGCATAAGTTAACTTTAAGAAAGCTTTTTCACCCAATTATGTTTTATTTATATTTTATTATTATATTGATTTACTTGGCTAATGTTTTAAGTAGAGAACGGTACGTTTTTTTAAAGGGAGCTGAAGAATATGCTACAACTGATCACAAGTACCCGTGCATATTGGCAATCACAAAGTTTAAAAAAAATAGAGGATAATATATAATAATATTTTTTAGCCCTTTGTATTTTGTTTACTTTTGCACCGCCTCTTATTTGTCTATCTCTGTTTAGCCTAATGGTTGACTGGTGGAGAATGCCCTATGGCATTAAGTCCGCCATATGTACAACTTTGTGCATGAAAGATTAAATAAATAAATAAAATAATAACACGTTTCCGACCGTATGTCATATCATCTTGTGGGTATCGTAAAAGACAACAGAAAATAAAAACACTACTACAAAATAAAAAACCACGGCTGCCAAGCTGCCTGCCAAGTGTGGCAATATTGGCAAATATTCCCGTGAGATTTTGATAGACTTTGATAGGATATAAAATATTTAATTTTATGTGTGGTAGAGCCATGCTGCAGCTATATTAGTAGTATAGTTGTAGTGCGAATGGGTCGGCTTGACCGGGGAAGGACCACGCTCTCACAGAATACCAGCTTAACACTGCTGTGTTTCGTATGGTGAGTGTAGAGAACCGGAGACCCTGTTTACTGGAAATGAGGCATTCCATCTTCGTCCACACGGGTGACAACGCATCTACATTTTGATTTGTAATAAAGGATAGATGTAGATGTCTATGGGCCGCAGTAACCACTTACCATCAGGTGAACTGTGTGCTCATTTGTCACTTTTATCCTATAAAAAAAACAAAGGATTAAATGACGATGATGCTACACTTTTTAAAAATATTTTTTTAAGGTTTTATGGGTATTTATATATTATTAGAGTTAAATTTCATTTTCGTGAATCACCTTAGGTTTTCAGTATTGTTTACAGCGAAATTTACTTGGCCTTATTATACTCGTAGATACTTGGATTTAATCTTTAGGAAAGAGAAAACATATAGGAGTATACATACGAAAGTAACTTTAATACACCCGTATATTAGAGAGAACGTTATCATTTGTATTCGTCCGTATAAGTGTAGCTCCAGTTCCATCCGCCACGAGCTCACGAGGACATCATTTGCATTGAGAAAGACGTAATGCTTCGAAGGCGCTGCGATATATCTGTCTGAGCTCTTTGAGATTGAGACTAATGTGTGTTACGTTTTTGTGTGTTTAAGGAAATTTTTTGCCTGAGTCAAGATAAAATGCTGGGAGCTATGATAAAAAAGATAAATTGGTGTACACTTTTATTACTTTCATAATGTTTAAAAAGATATTTGAGGAAAATTACGGTTAATTTTACGTTGATATTACTTCTGAATAACGACTTATGTAAATGTCGGTAAAAAATACTTAGTTAACCATTCGGGTTGGTTATGAGTGAAAATATCGTCTAATTTAAAACTCGACGTACCGCCCTACTTTGTAGATAGATTTTATCACTACTTTTTTTGATTAATTTCATCACTTTTTCATATCAAATAAAGTAAAAATGTTAAATCTACTAAAACACAATAGAAATGACGTTAGATATTGTAATACTTACGTCTAACAAAAATACAAGAAATCGCGTGCAGTTTTAAATTCGGCTTTTATTTCTACATACATTATATACAAGTTTAACAATTTAAGAAGTTATCATAGTTTGCACACACCACATGTTCACTAGCATCGAGTTCGTCAGAGTAGGATAGCCATTTTAAATTTCTAAAACCCAAAACCCATATCTATGATGAAAAAACTGGCCAAGCGCTAATCAGGCCACGCACAATGTATAGGTAGAGTTCCGCATTTGCCGGTCACAATACGTGGGCTTCCTTGATAATGAGCATAATAAGTGAGATCGTGGTTTGACCGCTATAATAAATAAAATAGGTCCAAATAGGAAGATCGTAAGGACTTATTTTCAAATCAGCCTTATATTCAAAATTCAATCAAAATTTTTTTTTTTTTTTTTTTTTTTTATTTTGGCAACAAACAGTCGTATACAAAAGAAAATGCAATACAAACAACTTATCTCTTAAAAATTGACCTACAGTGCCGAAAAGTTAAACACAATTTAAAAGAAAGTTACATGGTAACACTACATAGCTATTATTTACATAACAAAACGACTAAGTACAGAAGCATTAATAGAATATATAGGTATATACACATATAAAAAAAAATGCAACTCACTTTCAAACTTTACTTAAATTGGTTTTTAATGTTTGTTTTAAGGTATTGAGAGATGTGTTAAAAAGGTCGATATTAGTAAATTGTTTATTATATAAGTCAGTGGAACGGTATACGAATGCGTTACGAGTATATCTTTTATGTAACCGCGGAGGAACAAAAAGTGGCATTTTACGTGAGGATCGCACTGGAAGACGAGCACGAGCAATAAATGATACCTTTGAGAGAAGTAGAGAAGAGTCAATTAAATTATTCAAAATTTTATATAGAAATATTACATCAAATAATTTTCGTCTATTACAAAGGGATAACAATTTATACCTAAGCAAAGATTCATCATATGATTCGTTAGTAATGTTATTACGATAGTTAAGAGACCTTAGGAATATCTTTTGTACTCTTTCAATTCTATTCTTATGTATATGATAACAGGGACTCCATACAATACTACAAAAATCTAAGATTGACCGAACAAAGGAAAAGTATAGAGTTTTTAACGTTATTGTTTTATTAAAGGGTTTGCTAATCCTAAGAATAAATCCCAAGCTACGAAATGCATTGCCTAACATATAATCAATGTGTAGATTGAATGACAATTTTGAATCCATTATTATTCCCAGATCTCTAATACTATCTACTCTTTTGATAGTGGTGTCATTCAAGCTATCAAATATTATATTGTTGACTTTACGTGTATATGATATAATATGGCATTTATCAATATTAAGATATAATTGGTTATTTCCACAATAATTACATAGAGAAGTTATGTCTTTTTGCAGCTTTACACAGTCATCAACTGTTTCGATAACTCTGAATAACTTTGTGTCGTCGGCATAAAGTAGGTAATCACTATTTTTTAGTGCAAATCCTATATCATTAATATATAAAGAAAACAGCAAAGGGCCCAAGTGTGATCCTTGAGGAACACCTGATGGTACGGGTAGAAATTGTGAAGAGTATCCCTTTACACAAACTGCTTGAAATCTATTTTTAATATAAGATTGGATCCACCTGAGAAGGTTGCCGTGAATACCAGCCCTTGTAAGCTTCTCAATAAGTAGATCGTGATTTAATTTGTCGAAAGCTTTGGAAAAATCTGTGTATACAACATCCACTTGTAAGTTATTATCCATGGCCTTCGACAAATAATCAGTGAAAGTTACCATATTGGTATCCACACTACGGTGCTTAAAGAAACCATGTTGTTGTTGGCATATGTAATTACGAACTGAAAACGAAATATAAGATGTGACAATTTTTTCAAGAACCTTTCCCAAAACACATAATTTGGAAATCGGTCTATACTCAGTAATTATATCTTTTCTGCTATTTTTGGGAATAGGAGTTATTAAAGATTTTTTCCACTTACTAGGATAAACACCGGTTTCAATAGAAGTTCGAAAAATTATGGTTACAGGTTTTGCGAGTTCTTTAGCACATTTGGAGATTAAAATAGGATGAATGTTGTCAGACCCTGCACCCTTATGAACGTTGACATTTTTTAATTCTTTATGAACAATATAATAGTCAATATTAACAGAGTTTATATCTAAAGTTGAAAGGGGATAAGAGCTAATAGAATGATTTCTAACAAGAGAATCATTTTTGAATAAAAAAACGGAATGAAAATATTGATTGAACGCGTCGCAAATCTCACTACCACTAGATAAAAGTTTTCCTTTGTATAACATTCTATCTGGAATGTCATTTGTGGAATTTTTAGATTTTACAAAAGACCAAAAATATTTTGGATGCTCTTTAATTTTCTCTTCAGCAATTTCAATATATCTTTTGTAACAATTTTTCTCCATTTTCTTAAAACGATGTCTCAGAATAGAGAAGGTTTCATAATCACACAGGTTTCCATATCGTTTCCATTTTTTATGAAATTTATATTTTTCTTTTGATAGTTTAATCAGAGGTTTATTAAACCACGGAGGAAATTTATTTTTGGTAGTAAGATATTGCGTCGGTACATGTTTGTCTACAAGTCCATCAAGCACATCATAAAAGTATGTAGTCATCAATTCTACGTCGGACTTCATAGTGCTAAAAGTTGCCTCCCAGTCAATCGAATTTAATGAAGTATTGATTGCGTCGAAGTCGGCTTTGTAGAAAAGCTTTTTCTTAATATAAGCACAGTTAAGCAAAGCAGAAGAAAATAATTTTAAATCTATTTTTAAAGCTTTATGATGGTTATCTTGCGGCACTAATGGGTATACGCTAGAAGAAACTGAACAGTTTTTATTACAAAAAATTAAATCTAGAAGTCTGTTATTTACATTAAATTGAGAGTTGAATTGTAATAGCAACGATAAATACATAAAATCGGCAGTGAGACAAGCTAATCTATCATTGTTTGTTTGAATATCCATGGTATTAGTGGTTATATTATAATGCCAACAAGCATTAGTCACATTAAAGTCACCGAGAATAAGAAAAATATCATTAGAACTACAAATCATAAATTCGGTTACCCTATCATAAAAAGAAGTCAAGAATAGCTCATGATTATTGCCGTGTGCTATATATGTAGATATTAAATGTAAATAGCGAGGTGTGTTCTTAAGCTGACCGGACGAAGTAGGAGCGGTAATCGTGTACAGCGGCACCGACACCCATACCTCCTCTGCCGGTGGCGGCGCGCGCAAGTCTGCGCGGTGCTGAGGACACAATTCACGGCGAACCGCAATCAACACACCACCACCTCGCTCGTGCCCACTTAATGCAACATTACGATCACAACGGTATACCTGATAACGATTGTCAAAGTATTCTGAGTCATAAAAGTTATCATTAAGCCAAGTTTCGGTTAAACATATCGCATCGTAATTGTTGCACAATATTGCATTAAGAAAGTTATGTGATTTAGTGCGTAAACCCCTCACATTTTGATAATAAATGACAAAGTTTGTATTATCGTATTTTAAAAATTAAAGTTAACATCGTTCCACCAACATGTAAGAATATAAATATGTAATATAAACTTCGTATCTTAAACCAAATTAACAAAGACCTTATTCTAATGAGATTAAAAGTAAAACTTGATATATAGAAATAGTTACATGAAATATTTGAATGGTTTACATGAAATATACAAAATAAAAATAGTCACTTAATTCTAGTAAGGTCAACTTCACTAGTTACCAGTAATGCTTTGGACTCGTCATTTTTACGTACAAATATCTTGCAATCAGACAACCAAACATATTTATAACTTTTTTCTTTAGCTATTAGACGCACTTGCTTATATAATAATTTATTATGTGGCGATAAATGATCACTAATAAAAATAGGCTTAGACGGGCCGTCCACACCAGCGTCCACTGTTGTCAACCCACGTCGGGCACGCACAGCTGCAAGCATATCTGATTTCCGCTTTCTTTGTGTAAACCTAACGATTATATTAGGAATCTGGGATAGGTTATGAGATCTGCCATCAGCAATATTTGTATTATCGCTACTTTTTGTGTTAAAACGTCGAACACGGTGGATGTAATCAATATCCGATGACGCCAATGGGAAACCAATCTTCGTTGCAATGTTTTGAACAATAGTTAGTAAATTTTCACCCTTAGTAAAAGGTAATCCTGATATTTCTATATTATTGACCCTTCCTTGTTGTTCCCTCGCTTGTTGCTGTTCTGATAGGTTATTGACGGTGGATTGTAAGGCACGCATATCCTTTGAGATTGATTCAAACTTAAGGTTATTTTGCTCCATAGAAGATTTCAATAAGCAAATATCATTTTTTAGGGTAGTTTGTTCATCTGATAATTTCTCGGTGGTGAGCTTCATATCGTGCAATTGCAGTTTAAACTCACTTAAATCGTCACGAAGAGCATCCAAAGAAGACTTTATGTTGTTATTATGCCTCTCAAGCACATTATTTATAGAAGTAGTAATTTTATTTTGAAAATCAATCATCATCCCTTGAAAATCACATTGGCAATCCGGTAATTTTCTCTTCTTTTGTATGAAATGAACATCTTCGCTGAGCTTTGATACATCAGGGTATGATCCCGATCCTTTTGGCGGGCTTCTACGAACACTCATTTTTAGTTAAAATTATTTCGTAAACAGATGTATTCGAAGGTAGCTGTTTTATCGCGATAGTTAATTGCAATTTACGTAGGATATAAGCGCTCAACACGGCGGCATAAGCAAGGTGAAGCGAAACCAAGCGATGCACAGGTTGGCTATCCTTTACTCGCAAACTAGTAATTAATGAGTCAGCACCACCGAATCTCTAGCCTTCCTCTACGCGCTCGATCGTTGTCGCTGATAAAATTTATAGTAAACACACCCGAAATGCACTGTTGATTAAAAACAAAATGCTATGGGTTAGCTGAACACAACAGAGGAACAATTTTGTACACGTGCAACCATGTAGAAATACGAAACAAGACTGATTTATATTCAAAAAAGATTAAAAAATTTTTCGATTTTGATAATAATACCCTATCTATCCCGCAAATAAAAAAGTAAAGCTAATAGTAGTAATGCATATAAGTCGTTTTTTTCATAAAATGTTTATGTTTAACAGTTTACAATAACATTTCAAAAGTTATTAATGCAGATAGTTTTAGGTCATTTTCAATGGAGTTGTAATGAATATTTAACTAATTCAAGTGCATTTTTAAGTTAGTCGACTATTACACATTAACTACTTAATCATTCTTAACTGTGATAGTTTTCCTTTTTAACTTCATTATATATGCTATTATTGTGTATACTTTTCACATTTCAAAAAACAGCGGTTTAGTTGGTAGGGGGAGGGGGGGGGGGGCAAATGACTCTAATGAAAAATACTACTTTAAAGCTAAATATTTCGTAAATGGACCCCTGGATCGATAAGATGTTGTTCCACACCCCCAATGTTTTTAAAAGACCTATCCAACGATACCCCACATGATGGAATACAAGGGTAAAAAAATCATCCTCCATTTCCTTGTATGGAAAGTACCCAAAATAAAAATGTTTTTTAAGATTTTATTTCACAGTTTTATAGGCGTGATTAATGCTATGTGCAAAACCGCGGATAGACGGACGGACATGGCGAAATTATAAGGGTTTCTTGTTGTGTAACTACGGAACCCTAAAAATCGCGACTTCACTGCGGGAATCCTGGTGTTGTGTGTGTGTGATAATATGTTAATATCAGAAGTCTGGACGGTTGTTGGGAAAGAGTGTCGAAGCGTTTTCCATTTCATTCGTTATCATATGCTTGGACGGCTTGTCACAAGTTTCCTTTCAAGTGATGAAGAAAAAAGAAATGATGAGAAGGACGAAGCTCGCACTAGCTTGAAAACTGATGGTGGTAATTCAGTACAGTATGGGAGCAACTCATACACCACTGAAATCGTTAATCTAGATTTTAGCGGCCCCATATGGCTACTATTGAAAATACCAAAAATATCTCATGACGTTAAATATATAGTGATACAACCATTTATATAAGCCAGACGGTAAATACCCGGCCCGGTAATGAGAAGCAGCGCTAAAGCCGGGGAATGTTTGCTGTTGCGGTCGCCATTGCTACTGCCAAGAGTGTCGATAATAATAAAAGGCGAGAAGTCTATGCAATAGTGATAAACACTACAGAAATGAGATGCGGCCTGTGATTAGGGGTGGGCCGTGTGTAGGCTGCAACTTTATTTCTCTTCTTTCTTCTTCAAAGCCTATCCACTGCTGAAAGGCCTCCACCATAGATGGCATCCTTTCTTATTTTAGTGCAACCTGCCCGTTAATCTTTCTTTTATTTTTATTTAGTTATTATTCTGGGTTGTCTGGAAGAGACTACTATGTAGCAATTAGACCGCCTTTTGTTTTTCCCCCAATATTACTTTATTTTTGTCATTTTTTTCTTTCATTGGTGTACAATAAAGAGTAATGATTTTTATTTATTTATTTAATAACACAACCTTTTTACATAAGTGCATTGATTCCCTATTCCCTAAAGCTAGTGTAACTGTGTTTAAGGCACCAGATTATTGAAAGAGTATTGCTAGAATGCCTCATAGGAGGTACATTTTTTTATTGGATAGAGTGACAAACAAGCACACAGTCCACCTGATGGTATGTGGTTGCTGTGGCCCATAGACATCTACATTTAATCTCGTTTGCGAATCAAAATGCAGATGCTTTGTCACCCGTGAGGACTAAGATGGAATGCCTCTTTTCCAGTAAAAAGGGTCTCTGGTTCTCTACACTCACCATACGAAACACAGCAGCGTTAAGCTGCTATTTTACGCTGGTATTCTGTGAAGGCGTGGTTCTTCCCCGATCGAGCCGACCCATTCGTGTTACAACTATATTACTAATATAGCTGCAGCATGGCTCTACCACGTAAAAATATTTGCCATTTTTGCTATGATTGGCAAGTAGGTTACCAACCGCAGTTTTTTTATTTTTTATTTTTAGTTTCCCTCTGTCGCCTTTAACGACTGCCACGGGATGGCATGGGTAGTGTATAAACTTTTGCCACCATTACATGTTCCGCCACTACACGTTTTATTTTATTTGCCTTCTAATGATTAAGATAAAATAAAGATGGATGTAACACTGTTCAACAGAATATATTTTTATCTATACATATAATAAAACTGTAAATAGCAGATGTCTGTACATTTTATAATTTTGTAATAAAAGTGATTGAGGGGTACTAAAAATAAGTAATTAAATACATTTCTACCATTTTTAGAATTTTCTGTCTGTCTGTCTTTCTGTCTGTCTGTCTGTTTGTTTGTTAACGTATCACGTTTAAAGTACTAATTTATATCATAAGAATTGTTAAGGAAATTCTGAAGTGTACCTTCGGGTTACATTTAGTCTTCATTTCATTAAAATCGGTTCATTCCATCAAAAGTTATGATAAATATTCTGAAGTATGGGTAGGGAATTTGCTCAACGGTGGCTATGTTTGAGTCATCAAGTTGATGTTAGCAGCGCCATCTCTCTTTAATTAAATATATACATATAATAAAAATGATGATAACATGTTGTGTCTCTTTCTGTACATTGTATATATATTTAGGTGACTAAAATCATTATGGGGAACTAAAAATAATTAAATAAGTACATTTTTATAATTTTTAGAATTATCTGTCTGTCTGTTTGTCTGTTTTTATATGAAGGCATCACGTCTAAAGTAAACATCTTTTTTTTTTCAAAGAAATCGTTAAGAAAATCATAAAGCGTATCTTCAAGTTACATTTAATCTTTGTTTTATTAAAATTGGTTAATTCTATCGAAAGTAATGATTATTATTTTAAAATGTAGGTTCGAATTTGTTCAATGGCGCCATAAAAATCTCAGAAATAGTAATAAAAAGATTTGTGTGTAAAAAAAACGTTCCATAATAATTAATATATTTATACTTAAAACATAAAAAGAGATTTAAAAAAGGATGTTTTCTCACACAAAGGACGTAATAGATGGAGTTGTACAAATTACAAACTTTTCTGATTTGCTGTGTTGAGATTTTTCTCCGATGAATCGTATTGAGACTTACTGAAGAAATTTGTATCTATCGAAGCCTTACAACGGAACCCGAACAAAAATAACAAAATTGCAACGAAATGTCGTGATATTGTATTTATAATATACGCAAAATCAGTACTGCCATTTTAGCGCTTTGGGAACTAGATTTAGCGCTTTTTTGGAATGTATAGCGTGCATTTCGAAATTTTAGCACCTAGCACTTAATCCAGCGCTTTATGGTGTATTTAGCACACATTTCAAAATTGTAGCGACTAGCGGGTTATCAACTCTTTTATAGCAGCACTGTTAGTCCACATTACCGATAATAATAATAATAATGACCTTTATTATTTTTTTCCACAAATAGTACATTGCAGTTTATCTTTTTCAAACATATTTTTCCACAAAACAAAGACCATGGGAAACGAGTCCAAACTAGGATACCCTGTGCTATGGATCTCCCGGCTTCCCCTTTAGGATGATCAACTTGATTTTTTTTATCGACGACTATAAGCGGGGAAATCCCCTTCATTAAAGTTTTCGTTCATGGTTTTGGCAACGCATTTATTTTGTTTTATTCAGTTTTAGTCAGTTGTTTAGAGCACAGCTAAGTTAAAAGTTACTTAGAGTAGTACTAACTACTGTTGACAGCAATTGCCATAATTATAAGTCGATGTCCTGCGAAGTATTGATACATTAAAAATATTGCCAGAAAAAAACTTAATGTTGTTTTCTTTATTATGATTATATTTTCTTGAATTATAAATTATAATAAAAAACACAAACTTTGTTTGTAGTTAATTTAGCGCGAAATCTAGGGCTTTTTTAAAGCACTGTTTTCATGAAATCTAGCGCTTTTTGTGTTGTCCTAGCGCTGAATGAGTTTTTTTGATCTGGCAGCACTGCCAAAAAACCCTCTATTAAGAAGTAACTTTCCTTTCAGTTTTAAGCGCGTTCAGTTCCCAGTTACGGTCAGCGTGTGTTATGCGATGACCGTAAATATAGCGCAAGGTCAAAATTTACGCGTTGCAGGAGTGGACCTCAGTACTGACTGTTTTGCACATGGCCAACTCTATGTTGCTTTTTCCCGCGTTAGTAGCCCCCGTAACCTTTTTTGTGTACACCCCGTCTAAGTCTACTTCTAACGTCGTTTACACCGAAGCTCTATCATAAACTACTTAGAACTTTGATGATAATGATTTATTTGTTACCACTTATTGATACAGTAATGATATAAATCGTTTAATATTCTCTTACCTAAACGACAAATTCTTTATGTAAAATCTATATACGCGAGCTACGCCGCGGGCACAGCTAGTTATAAATATAACACAAAATATCATCGTATTTTGTACAAGAAAATTGTGAGGTAAAGCGATGTGTGCCTAACGCTTACAGTAAATGAATTTCCTCGCCTGTGTGAGAATATTAAATTTGCTTTGGAGATTGCCTTATTTGTGGACCAAACTTTGTAATTACATAGGAGCGAGCTGAGAGCTCTTTTGGGCGATTTTGAGTGTGTAAAGTATAATATAAAAAGTTTGTAAAGTGAAAACTATTCTTTGTCATTGGTA